AAGTGGCGGAAGCACTGTACTTACCCACGAATTGAAACAATGTTCGGTTTCACCTAGAGTTGAAGGAAAGAAGGAACTCAATACTCTTCTGGCGGCAAGGAGGAAATTATTTTTCCCCCACAAGTGCATATATTTATGTTAAAAAAAAGTCGATTTCAAATTTTTTTGGCGTGCGCCCAGTCTGGCGTCCGGGCCAACAAGCAAGAGACATCGAACAGGGAGCGATAAAGAGGTGAGAATGTATCTTTGACACAGCAACTCTGAGATCTCGTTGCTCCTTTGAAATCATATTTCACCCACTTTATTTTTATTTTCTTAGGGCTCCCTCCCGTTACTTTTACAGCCCGCCCTCGCCCCCTCCTCCGCCCACCTGTCAGGCAAATGCACACTTTTCCCTACACTGTGCACCTTGCGCTATATTTAACGTTTTCTATCGCGGCCCGAGCTCAACAAAATGTTCCCCAGTTCGACGGTTTTCGCGCGCAACGAACCCCCAATCTCTCGCTTTTTCCGGCTGTGTTGTCAATTCTGTCAATCTGACTTTCGGATTCGAGCGTTTTTTCTCTCTTTTTATGCCAGAATGTCCGTACTAGAAGAGAGCTCCGCACCGCTTTTGCGCTCAAGAGTGGATCCAAGAACCGACGAGAAGGATGGACAGCATTAGTAGGAGGAAGGAAGATTCAACAAGTGGATGATGAAATAATGAAGTGATAGGAAATGTTTTTTACAAAAAAAATCCAGAAAGCAATCCAATCACGCATTCAAAGTTTCAGAATCCTTAAAGGATAAGAGGGGGAGGGGGTGAAATTAAATTGAACACTAAGTACAACCGAATTTGATGCTCCTCCTCTCTGTGTATTAGGCGCTCGTCATGAATTGGAATCTTAAGTCAACATTTCAAATGATTGATGCCACGATGAGTGCTGCTAGGAATCACGTGAGAACTGAAAACATGGAGACTAGTTTACGGATCTATACACGCGGGAAAAAAATGAGTGATACAATTCAATGAAAAGAATATCTCTCTATTTCAAAATTGGTAACCACGATTGCTAAAGCTTAGGTTTACATCATGCACTCTTTGTGACTAACTAAAACACCTTCCTTCTTCCCTCTACCAATGGGCCTGTTGCATGCAAGAGATACAGCCGCGCGAATAGACTTTTTAGAGGTTAAATGACACGAAAATTACGATGGTCACATTAAAAAAGTCTGAAATACACTCCTTACTGCGCAATTTGCGTTGTTAGGAACGGGCTTTTTCAAATTTCCCGCGTCTGGGGGCAGTTTTCTAATCACCGGAAACGAGCCAACGGCGGTCTCGATGATTTCCGGAAGATGCCGAGTCGTTGTTGTTGTTGTTATTTTTTCCTTCAGTTTGTTTACAAACCCAACGTGATCTCTTATAGTGGTCCATATACGCTTTATGCGGTAACCAAATCGATCAACTTTTAAATATCCAACGCAATCCTTCTACATTTCATTTCACGATATCGAGAGCTTTGATTTTTAGGTTATGTTGTCAGTTTTAGTTGACCGGAAATAGCCGCGAGTTGCCGTTAATTGTTTCCGTTAGAAAACTGCCCCCAGACGCGGGAAATTTGAAAAAGCGCGTTCCTAGCAACGCAAATTGCGCAGTAAGGAGTGTATTTCAGACTTTTTTAATGTGACCATCGTAATTTTCGTGTCATTTAACCTCTATAAAGTCTATTCGCACGGCTGTATCTCTTGCATGCAACAGGCCCATTGAGAACATAGAAAACGGCATCGTTAATATCATGAAACGGTCGCTGCATCGGTGTGTCAATTTGGAAAGGAACGTATCTCTCATGAGATCCCTAAAACTGTATGAAGTGTCAAATTGAATAAATATTACACTGTTAAAACATATTCGGAAGTCCTTGAAAGATCCTTGGAGTTTTTTGATTTTACCACACGGTGACAAGTTCATGGAAAGTGAGGACATTTTGTTCGATCCTGAAAAGAAAGGGAACAGTGGGGGGATTTTTCTGCAGAACCTTCAAATGTGTTCTTCGAGTCAAAACATCGCCTCTTTCAATTTTAAGAGAAGCTGAAGATTTCTCGTGAAGAAAAAAAAATGTCGTTTGACAGGGCCGGATTTAGGGGGTGGTCACATGGGCCGCGGCCCATAGCGGCAAAAGGTGGCGACAAATTTTGCAATTTTTTTAAATGTAGATGTGAAAAAATATCGGATTCAGAAAGAAAAATTACAAACGAGAAAAGGCGACAAAATATCCACTTTCTAAGAGCATATTAATTTCTAAATGTTGTCTTTCGGTGATATAAGAGACAGCACCTTAAATTAGTCGAGTAAAGAGAGGAACCAAACACGCAATTTGGCCTGGAACGACGCGGCGCAGAGAGCAATGATGACAAGGACTTGAGATGAAAAAAAATAGCCCTCGACGCGGCGGCGCACGGTGTGGCGAAAGGCCGGTTTGCCCGGACATGCGCTCGACAACTTGCGTTTTGTTGTCAACTGTGGCCCTAAAACGCATCATTTTTTAGTAAGGAGGACATTACCAGGGCAATTTTTGTCGTAGATTTCAAATCTGCCCTTATTTTTACCATTAGAGTGATGAAAATCCGAGAAAAATTGCTATTTACATAAGTTGTTCCTGAAAAACACTGATACATTGATTTCCACCTGGAAACTGCGGTTTTAAAACGCATCATTTTTAAGTAAGGAGGACACTCCTGCAGCAATTTTTGTCGTAGATTTCAAATCTGCCTTTACTTTTACCATTTGAGTAATGAAAATCCGAGAAAAATTGCTATTTACACAAGTTATTTCTGAAGAAGACTAAAAACATTGATTTCCTGAACCACCTCGAAACTGTGGCTTTAAAACGCATCATTTTGAATCAAGGAGCGTGATCATAGGGTAATTTTTGTTTTAAATTTCAAATCTGCCTTTACTTTTACCATTTGAGTGATAAAAATCCGAGAAAAATTGCTATTTACATAAGTTATTTCTAAAGAAGACTAAAAACATTGATTTCCATCTCGCAAATGAATGCATTTCTATAATTTAAACGTTCGACACTTCTTAAAATATTTGCAGCCATCCTTTTCTCTTTCCACCTGGCTTTATGAGCAGCATTGTACGTATTCATAATTGTATATCTTAATACTGCTGTTAATATAGGAACAAAAAAAATTGAATAAAATAGAAGAAACGAGATTTTAAACAACATATCTATTTGCCCTTCATGACCAAACGAAATGTTAACTCTCGACTACTTCATCCACTACCATATGTAGCTAATTAGCTACATCCAGCTTAATTTATCAATATGAATATTGTTTCTTAATTTTTGGTAAAATTAGTCAGACTAAAATGTGTAATAAGTATATATTTACAATATTAGTCCTATTAATAATGACTTTCTACAGGTGAAATTTAATGATATTCTACATGATATTCGAAATTTCTATAATTGCCGTGTTTATAATTATTATAACATGAGGATACCAACCAGTGTGAGTAGTAGTCACATTATTTAAACTTATAATAACAGTTCTAACCTCTTGACCATTCATTATTAGTATGATAAATAACAGAAACAATTTAAATTTCTGAAATGTCCTATACATAGAAGTAAATAAATTACACTACTACTGCTGCATCCAGTAACTTCTTTTACACGTACTTAGCCTATTTTAACCTTTGACCACTTACCTACGTGATGGATCTTAGAGAAATATCAACAATTGGTTGCGCGGAGTGATAAAAACCGATTTCGCGCAACCGACTTCATATCAGATAATATCATGCTGCCGTCGGAGTAGCAGATATTAGCAGCTAAAAATTGTTTAGGAGGCTTCTCAGGGGTCCTGTGGGTCTGCCCCAACAAGTCCCAGCGTGGCACTCCTTGGCACTTGGAACGAAAGTTAATATACAGTTTTATTTTCAGCATTTTCGGCGCGAGGACTTTCAGACGGCATAAATCGTATTCAAACCTATTTACGGCTACATTTTAGTAGTGAAAAATGATCAGCAGCTTGCATAGAGTAAGATTACGTCATTGGAAAAGGTCTCATGAAATGTTAAAATAGACTAAAGAATGTACAAACATTGGTGCGTTTTTAGAGGAAATTTTAGATTGCCGACTTAGCGGACTTTAGAGGCCTGTACCATCAATATGGGGGATGAAAATTTAAAAACTATCATCAAATCCATATAATATAATACTCGTAGAACACATTTCCGGTCCTAAACATTCACAATCCCGGAATCGCCCATGTCCGACCTTTTACCCGTATCGCCACACCGTGCGGCGGTCGGCATGTAACGCATATTAGCGCCTACAAGACTGCATGAATACTTCACGCATTGCGTCAAACACAGTACGGGTAGCAGCGGTCGGCGTGAAAGGCATAGCGCCTACAAGACTGCATGAATACTTCACGCATTGCGTCAAACACAGTGCGGTCAGCAGCGGTTGGCGTGAAACGCATAGCGCCTACAAGACCGTAGGAATGCCTCACGCTTTGCGCCAGTAGTGCGGTCAGATTGTTCTTTCATAATTTTTTCGTTCATTTCTTATAACCCGCCTTGTTCACACAGAGATAGGTTTACGGAACTTAATTTTCAGTCCTTTTCTTGTATCTCACTTGTTGAAATAAAAGCACAACGAGCTATGACACGCAGCTGAGGCGGTTGGGCTCTAATCTCTAGTCTCGAATTCCTAAAATTGCACTTATGCGCCTTGTTTTCTAAGCCCCTCAATTCATGGTTCCTGGACGAGAATTGAATCGGTTTCTGTTAGACGGGAGTAAGGCCAAAAACTCATGAGTCCTGCCTTTTGTTGATCACGTAGGACGCCAGAGATCATAAGTTAATCAAATAGTGATATCAGTAGATCCAGATCATAGTCATAAGCTGTGATCGATCCTAGTAATCGAATAAGTCAATCACGACACCTGTCCTTTGTTTATCGATAGCACCCTTCAATGATTCGCCTTTGTTGTTTCAGATTTTGCGGGATATCCGACACGGACTGAGCCGGGAGGCGAGCCTGGGGGTCCAGTTGCGGGGGGAAGGAGGCGGGGGCGGGGGAGGCGCCGGGAGTGACGACACCTACATGTACGACGACGACATGATCCGATTGGCCACACTCGGGCACCACTGGTACGATGAGCCCCCTTATGAGAGCGACCCCGAGGACTTCTTAATGGTGGCTGCCGACCAACACAATCAGAGGTAACTTATTTCAGGCTTATTTCTAATCGAACCGTTGAAAAAAACGATTAAATTAGCAATTTGACTTCTAAATCAATTGATACTTATTCCGATAATACTTCTTAATTATAATCAGCCTACAAATTATTATAACAATAAAAACACACTAAAATACAAAAAACGAATGGGTATACAAGGCTAGAGGAGACATAAAACAACCAGACGGTTTTAGCTTCTATTCCAGTTGAGAATGGGCATGTAATTGGCCCGAAACGTCCTGGTTGTTTTATGTCTCCTCTAGCCTTGTATACCCTTCATTTTTTGTATTTTAGTGTGTTTTTATTGTTGTCTGCATTCGGGCTATTATTGTGTCTCTCTCTCTCCCATCAATTATTATAACTTTGGTATTCGTAATAATATTAGTCTGTGAAATAATATATTAGGTACTTAATAATATGTTTAGATTATCATATCAATGGTAATTTCAATACTATGGTTCAGATTCCCTCGGATCAATTCCGTAGTTGTCCTCGAGGTCCTTGACTTCGTCCGGCCTTAAGTGGATCGCGTTAAACAAAAAGGAACCAAGCCACATCAGCTATTGCCAAATTTAATCGGGCAATTTAATTTTTAAGAAGAAAACGATTGCGCGGATTTCCGTGCAAATTTCAGTGAAAAATCTCCACAGTTTGAAGAAAATTCCTTAAAAATTCCAAACGGATCCGCACAAACATTCTCTCGTAAAAAATTTAATTGCCCGGTTAAATTTGGCAATAGCTGATGTGGCTTGGTTCCTTTCTGTTAAACTCGGTCCAAGTAACCCACACTGGAAAAAAAAACACATTGGATCTAGAGTTGAGACTCTTAAAAACATCAACAAGAAAAATACTCTTGATTCAATCAGATTTAAGCTTAAATCAAGAACCAAGCCTCTTAATTTGAGCGGATTTCCTTTTGATTTAAGCTTAAATCTGATTGAATCAAGAGTATTTTTTCTTGTCAACGTTTTCAAGGGTCTGGACTCTAGATCCAATGTGGTTTTTTTTCCAGTGCACATGATGGCTTTTCTCTTTATTAAAATCTTAAAAGTAGAACCTCTAAGAATTTCGCATATTCTGATTTTCGTGTAACTTAACCCACCATTGATTTTACCAATTGCAGGGTGTGCTACACGATGAAAACGGACAAGATGGGCCTGGGTCGGAGCGGAGGCAAAGGACTCAAAGGCAGTAAGGGGAAAGGAAAAGGGGTGCAAGTGAACGGAAACGGAACGTGCAACACCATGGGTGAGGGCGGTGTGATATCTTTGCGTTTGGCCGGTGATATCTCCCTTCCACCAATGGGCATCCACCAACGGGGGCTCATTCTTCCCCAGGCGGGCCCCTACCCTCCAACGGTTATCCCACTTACTAGACACGCACATGCCAACAACCGGGAATCGGGAGACTATGCTGCCTCTGATATCCAAAGCGTCTGGTAAGTTGTTCTCGCGTAACCGTACAACTTGTCTAACTTTAAGTTTTCACTCAGCTATGCTGGAATTCCACAGCAGGTGATGTCGATCACCATGGTTTTTAAAGGCAAAATCTTTATTACACATATTGAATCAGAGTACCAGCACGTGCTGTTCTTTTGAACGAGAGTATTTGCCTGTCGTCGATCTTACGCAAAGAAGCAATCGACCTATACATGACTTAATATAAGTCAAAACTATAATATGACTTATCCTCCGTTGCATTCTGTATGTCAATTAACTTGAACCCAACTGAAATGTATTTTGTGTCAATTTTGGTCAATTCAATTGTCATGATTTTCCAGCTCAAGGCTGTCGTCTCTATCGATGGAAACCAGTCGTTCAGAAGCGTGTGAACCAGATTTATACCATCGACTGAGGCCATTTAACAATGGGAATGATTCAGCCATTTCCCCTGGGAGCTCTGACTGCACTGAGGAAGACATGGTTACGCTCCATTCAACGCAGAGAGGTAGTTCTTTCCTTGCCCATCGAGTGCAAGGGCTTAAGTTTGACCGATCTAGTGCTCAAAGAAAACACACTCATAGATATCGATGTGATCAGCATACTAGCTCCATAGAAAGCTTGCCAAGTGGTTCGAGTAAGTATTTTCTGTCTAACATCAATACATTAACGATTTATAACTGTAAAGGTACATTAAAAAATTGTTGCTCGAAAAAATTGTATTGCCTCATCTGAGAGTGTTTAATGAGTCAAATTTTTCATAATTTTTTTTGATGTGGGAAATTGTAGGTAAATAGATTTTAAAGTGAGAAAATACCGCCTCGTGTCGTCACTAGGCGGAATTTCCCATTTAGACCCATGTATTTTAGCAGCTTCGATCATTTGATCATATCTCCTCCAATAATTGTTCAATTTAGAAACCAAGGATACTCAGTCAATAGTTTCCATTTAAATGTAAAATTCATCAAACAGACAACTACAAATTCTCCATTAAATATTATTTAAAAATGGTAGCCATTAAAGCAATTATTCAACTGAAATTATTTCCAAAATTTGAATTTCTCTCAATAAATTGATGGCTAACTGCGAAAAAGTGTATTTATGAACTGTAACGTAGCGAGCATACCGGATCCGTTCCCGCGTTAAAATAACCGTTCTGAATGGGTCGGTTCTGAAAACAGCTTTTTTTAAGTTTGAGAGGTCATTTCAAGCTGGCTTTATCTGGCAAAGTAAACACTGCACTTACCACAACTTCTAAAGTATGTTGCCAAATGTGGCGACACTTCTTTTCAATGACTATTCTCTCTTAAAAATAAACATTTCAGTTCTAGATGGCAATTTTCTTGAACTTCAGAGTCTATTTTCGACGAATTTTGCCGCAGAATCCATGAGCAGTACTGATTTATTACCGCAAATTGCTCTTTTGCTTCAAAATTGGGGTGGGTGACGCATAACCGACTGGACATTTTCGGCCTTTAAAGTCTCATATCATTAAATATATCACAATTAATCAAATAAGTTCAGGGACATAGTTTCTTTTATCACCTTGGTTTTCAATCGTTTTGCCCTAAGTCGTTTGTAACCCACGGCAACACGACCAATCCTATTATCATGAAATCACCCATCTCAGTTGCCGCATTTAAAAATTAACGATAGTGTTTCATGTTTTTCAAGGAAAATTAAATAAAGAATAAAAAAAAAATGTTTCCTTGTAGTTCTGTGTAACTTTTAATGTGTGATAATCTCAATTTTTTCCTAAGGTACACAACCCTTGATGCAAGGAAATAGTTCAGAAGAGACTGGTTCTCCGTCTCCAACAATTGCTCGTGCCAAAGCTCTCGTTGATTATACACCTAGCCTTTATGAAAAAGATGCGCTCAAATTTAAAGTGAGTCATTAGTTTACGTTACTCTCTCTACTGCTAATCCTTTCCTCTCAAAAAATGCTTTTAGTTACTCATCCATTTTGTAACAACATAGTCATGCATACTTTTTGGTAGGAAGGAGGAACTTACACTCAAGAAACATTGACTTTCATCAAACAGAAAACAGCTCATATTCTGAATTTTACATCTCGCTTTAATCTCTTTTGTTTTTGTGGTCTGATTATTTTAAATAATTGATATGGTGATTATTTTAAAGTAAAAACTCATAGCCTTCAGCTCGTTTCCTAATAGAAAAACACAAATGACCAAAAAAATACAACATATGAATGTTACACAGCATGTATTGCCTCATTGTTCCAGAAAGGTGATGTTATTGAAGTAATCTCTATGTCAACTAATGGTCTTTGGCAAGGTCGACTTGGGGGCAAACAAGGTTACTTCAAGTTCACCAATGTTCAGCTGACTAATGAAGGAAATAATGTCCACCGCCAGCACAAGCCATTGCAGTTCAAACATCGTAGTAGACATCGACCACAAACCTTAGAGCAACTGTTAGAAACAATTAATATGAAGGTAAGACTTTTCCTACACCAATGGTGAAACTGCAACCGAAATTCGCGTTTTTGGCACCAAGAATTGACACTAAATCACGAGATACGCATTTTTGCAATTGGTGTTTTAAACCAACAGGCTTATTATCGGATTTTGATCTTTTAAGGACCGAAAAAAAGCTTCGAGCTTGCAGTTCCTTATCAGAAGCTTTTGTTTTGTCTCATATATATGACTAGATCAAGCGGTATGTGATTGGGAACTGACTCCTGATCCCAATTTTTTCCGATCATAGTCTCTTGATGGCAGGTAGAAAACATCCTCAACTAAACGATTATGGAGCTAACTCAAAACCATCAAAAATCAAGATACACACTTCTGCAATTTCACCATTGATAGGTATACTGAAGCAAAAGCTTTGCTCTATGGGCGTTTAAGAGCCAAGTTTTTATAATGTTTGGTTTTTTTTTAAAGAAAAATAGCTTTTAAAAAGAAATCAGACATTTCTTAGGATATATTAAATTTGTTCCAATTTTTTACCAATTTTGAGTTTTAAGCAAACCAATTTCAGAAAATTAAATCCACAACTATTAGATACTTGCCCCTCAAGCATTCATTAAAGTTTGAATTTGAAGCATCTACAAATGAAAACCGAAGTACAATAGATACAAATTTCATAGTTCAGTCAATGGTATCAAATGGACTGCGTAAATCAGAAAGGAACCAAGCCAAATCAGCCATTGCAAAAAACTGGGCAATTTAATTTTTTACATGAATGCGGTAGTGCGGATTTTTGCGCTAATTTCAGTGAATTTTCTGCATAGTAGTACGATGCAACTCCCTGGAAGCTTTCAAAGAAATTCGCACGAATGTTCTCTTGTAAAAAATTAAATTACCAATTTAGGTCAGGCAATAGCTGATGTAGTTTAGTTCCTTTTTGCTTAACACGATCCATATAATGATGTTAATCAATAGTATTCAGGCATTCAACAAATTTCGAAGTTGAAGCATCCAAACATGAAAACAGAAGTACAACAGATGAAAATTTCATAGTTCAGTTGATGGTATCAAATAATGGTATTAATCAATAGTAATCAATAGGCCTCTCTGAGGCCATCAATAGGCAACATATTTCTTTTCAAAATTTTATAAGAAAACAAATCACTCTACAGGAAGTCTCAAAATCAACTCCTACAAGATAATCGTATCTACAATTAACTTTGTTAAAATGGCAGAAATACATACGATATAATTTGTATATCGTAACTTCCAACTGATCCGTGAAAATACTTGTTAATATTTCAGGATCTCATTTCGGAACTTCTTTTTGTGTGAATTGTTTTTGATGTAAAATTTTAAAAAGAAAGCTTGTGACCCCGTTGCCAATTCAGACCTTGTGTAGAGGCACAGCTAGGCAACAAAAAATGATTTAGCAGTTGAGGGCAACACATCAAGTTGATGATCAGTTGAACGCAATAGACGAACAGCGAGAAAATAAATTGTTCCAGTTTTTTAACTTATTGTACTTGCAGGTATAGGATATCTTTTTAGCTTGTTTTTAAATGTTTCAGGAACATATGTCAATATTTATGTTGAATGGATATGAAGATTTAGAATCATTTTGTGCAATTCAAGAAAAAGACTTGGATTACTTGGGTATCCTGGATATCGAACAACGAGCTTTAATATTAGCTGCAGTAGAAGTAATGCACGGTTATGAATGTAAGTCATTTTGTCTATTTTATTAATCGAACAAGTATAATCATTTGACACTCAAATTGCAGAAAAAAAGCAGCATGTACTTCCTGGTTGTCTAGCATCTTTCCCTACACCTTGACCCTCAGATTCCCCATCTCCTTGATTTGCCCTAATTTTCATACCCATCCAAATCAAAAGACACACAATATGAACCTAGCTCAGTACAAAGTACTGATATAGACCAGTAGGGAGCTTAAATTTTGAAGAGGAAGATTCACCATAGACTAAGAGACTGCCTAGACCGCCATAAACTGCCTGTTGCGGGGCATAGTGTCGAAGCGCTTTGAAATTATGCAAAAAATCACAATCTTGTGCAAAACTCCTTAGAAAATCACTCGATAACACATTCTTTACTCTCCGGAGAGTAAACGTGTGATCGAGTTTGTTGTGCTTTGACCATAAAAGTTCAAAAATAAAAGGAGTTGATAATATAATGCAAAACTGATAGTAATTTTATCAAAGGTGCTTTAATTTTTATATTGCTGACTGACGCATTTCGCCCATTCAGGCATCTTCAGAGCATAGATATGAACACTTTCATAAAACTTTTCCTCATGTTATGGTTTCGATTTATAAAAACTAAAATTCAAACTGTCCATTTCAATTTATTTAATGCGTACTGATATTCTTCTTGTTCTTCCATGTTATTGAGCTGTTCAAAATTCTGTTATCTGCTTTTTAAAAAAGATACATTCATTTTAAGCTCCACTCCGATTGCCGAATACGAAGTTCACCCAAAGTAATTTCATTATTCAAACATAATAACTTAAACCTTATCTCCATTGGGAAAATTACGGCACAAACGTTGTTTTTCCAATGAGCCAGAAATAGTAGCTCCTTATAGCAAAACGTAGTCCATTGCATGTTGCTTTTATACAGTAATTAGCAAGCAATTTCAAAGATTTTTTTCAACAATTTCAGCTCCAGACAATGGGGACAGTAGTGGAGACGAATACAATCCAGAATCCTTTGACCAACAAAATAATCATGAGCACTCGAGGTCGAATAATCTAGACTCGAACTTATCAGAGACATCATCGGCGTCTACACGAACAAGCACGAAGAGCGAAAATTCTCATCCAATGATCAAAACCAGTGCAAACAATGTCTCATCAGTTGAAGTGACAGAGACGCAAGGGAGCAATACTTATCTACCAAACATACCGACAAAAACAAATCAAAAGTCCAGTAGTATAGTTGAAATAACGAGCAGCGATCTCAAAAGTAATGAAAAAGTTGCAGTAGTCAAGTACATTTGTAATCCTTCAGACTTGACCTGTGAAACCAATAGCTCCATAGTGAGAAACTCAGAGGAAAATCATGTCATTCGACGCAACTCGAGCAATTGCTGCACATTTAGTGAAAAGTCCAGTGACTCAGGGATTAGCAGTAGTTCTGTGTCTTCATCAGCCCCTAATCAAAACTCTGTGATGAAAATCAAACGCAAAATTCAAACAACCAATAATATTAGTCCGGGAACTAAGGCAGCATTAATCGAGTCGCCAACAAGGAGTTATGTCGGTCATTTTGTAATGGATTCTAGAAAAAACTGATCAATTTTTGCTGCAAAATCAAACATCAAGATTTTCTCCGACAATGCCATATTTTTTTCAATAAGTCACTTCAAAATAAGAACTAGGTGACTTTTTAAAAAATCTATCCAAGTTGTTTTATTTTTATTTTGTCTGTGATCTTCAGTATTTAAGTTTATATTAAAATAGATTTTTCCCCTGAAGCCAAACATTCCGTAAATATTTTGAACAATATTGTATTTTCTCAAATTTTCCTTTATAAGGGGGTGTTAGGTATTTGAATGTAGACTAGGGTGTTCTTTACCTTTGTTGTAATTTTGCATAAGTTGTGCAGAACATTTTCCTATGCAAATTTTCTGCGATATATTTGAAGAACTTAAGTTTCACAATTTCTAGTTTAACAAACTCTGCCAACTTGTCAGATCATTGAGTAAAAAAGAAAATTGAATTTTTTTTCTAACCAATCATCTCATTAGTGAATTATATTTTGAATGCACTCTTGAAATAATTGGATGCATTGCAAGAAACAACCTCAACATCTTGGACGTTAATTTGAGTACTAAGTCGTTTTACCCCAGTTATACATACTTTTACATTGTTTACTACCAAGGCTGCATACAAATTTGAATATTTAGTGGGTTCATTGGAGCAATTTGATGGTAGATCTGCAGGAATGTGTATCTAGGTTTGCAACGTTGCAGACTTCCTGTCCTCGTTTGTTTCTCCTGTAGAAAATTACTCGACATCATCTTGTGGAAACTTCCCTGTTTTTTTTTCCTCTGTGTGAAGAAAATTCTGTAAAAATTTCAAACAATAGAGATGGCTTGTTCTCATTTGATAAAATTAAATGCCAGCTAATACACCCCAAACGAGATATGCGTTCCTGCAGTTTTACTGTCTAATTCCAAGATTTAGATGAGAGGTTTGCTATCTTGCAAAAAGCCGGTTTTATTGGCAATGCCACTATTTTTCACAATTTTTTTCAGGAACAAAATATGTTTTTTACCACTTCTTCGGAATAAAAATCCTCAAATTTATTTTCATAAGAATTACATAGGAAACGGTGAAAAACTGATTTTCCCCTTAATTGCATAATTTTGCTTTCCTGAGAAGTTCGGCTGAGCGGCTGAGGGCAATTTTCTTGCAACGCATCATAAATGCAATTTTTCTCCAAGTAATTAATTTGTAGACTGATCAATTTATAAGATCGAATGAATTTTAGCAATAATAATGTGCTTTTGATTGAATTTACTTAATCACCCATGTGTTTTAAAGTGCCTGCCATTTACCAGATTATGATTTTTATCATTTTGTTATACATAATTGATTTAGTTGAAAAATACAGTTCTGAACTGTAGGAACTTTACTACATCCTGGTTATTTTTATGTATTGATATTGAACTGAAAGGAAAACATTCAGGAACGATGCAAAGAACTATCTGCGTGAATTGATGCCCCAATCTTGTGACAATCCTAGGTATACTTAAGTAATCCTTTTCCAAAACTGTTACAATTGGATTCAAATTTTCAAGAGTGAAATTCTTTTGCCTGCTGATTCTTTTTTACGGTGCGTTTCTGGTCTCCACCTCTTACCAGATTACGAGTGCAGCCAAGTTGTGTTTTAAGAAAAAAAAGTAAAAATGGGTTGGAAATCAGAATTTTAGGACAAGCAAACTCATTTGTTCAATCTTAAGGTTGCCATAGTTCAAAGCTCTCCGTTGATTGCGTTTGCGTATCACCTAATACAGAATAATTTTTATTTATTTTCCATTATTTTCTTGTTTTCGAAACTCACAGTTTCTGATTATCAAAAGAAAACATCCAATTTTCTAAAGATTCACAGTATCAATTTCATTCACATGAAAGAGCATTCTATTAAACATCCACCCGACAAATCAGAATGAAATCCTCACCTATTGGTCCATGATGCCAAAACTTTATATAGGCTCTCAATTCTGCAACTGTTATGATTCTAGTCAAATATATATTGCTCAGATACTTCAAGTTAGTAACTTAAAAAATTCATGCATGCTCTCCCATGATTATTAAAGATGAAAAATTACCAAAAATTGCCAACTTAATGATTTGCTGCATGTTGCTCTAGTCACAGATCATTTATTGGTTGCTTGGCTGATCGGTGGAAGGCTTACTTTTAAAATCAGTCTTGGATGTGGCGTTGAATTAAGAAATACCCAGGAAAAATAATAAGTATACTGAAATTGTCCAATTGAATTCAAGGAATATGAAATGATTCTCTGCGTGCAACAGTTATTTTGAATGACTTTTTACACTTATTTTTGAACAACAAAACCCTATTTAGATAGCACTAAGTAAAGCAGTTACATTGATGGTTTTGAAAAAATACCCATGTGCAATTATGTAGGGCTGCGTACTGATTGTTGAAATTGATAGACAAAGCTATAGACAAAGAAGACAAAAAGGACATGGGAGGGATCCTATTGATGGAAGCGGGTGGTTGCAATGGACAAAGGAGGTTGGTAATAGATTAACTAACGGCAACTCTCGTTAGACCCTTCGGTTAGTTCATCATTTACCCTCTTAGTGTGTAAAAAACACCCAACTTAACCAATAGGATCGCTTCATACTTATCATGTCTCCTTTTTCTATTGCTTTCTCCATCAATTTCAACAATCAGCCTGCAGGTAACATATGCTAGATAAGGATGCTAATGGATTTTCAAAAATTACAGCCTCAGGAACAAGACTGAAATTGGGGAGCACTCACAAGAATCTCCAAAGGCTCCATCATACTCTTTAGCTACGTAGAAAATTTGATCTTTCCATAGATAAGAACCATTTGCTCAGTGCAATTTCCTCTGAAACACAGTTTATTAGCAATAACTTGTACCGTTCGAAAGTTAGAAGCATTCAACAATTTGGACTTCGACCCCACGTCCTCTGTTCCCCACTATTTGGGGCAAAAAGCAACCCTTTTCCTCTCAGATGATTCTCTATCAACCCCCAAAATATGACACGATTCCCCGGGGGAGGGAGGGGGGGGGGCAAACACACCAATTTTGAACAGTGTCCTCTGCTCATTCTTAGCACCAAGTGACTTAGCATCCTCCCTTGAACTGTCCAAGTCTCATTGAGTATTCTCTTTTTCTCAACAACAAAAATGTTTTTATATGTTTGCTGCCCATTTTTGACAGTTTTAACGAATTTTCCCTCTGTTATGTTTCTTTATTGTTATGTAAATAAGATAGTCAATACTCAACAGCCAAAAAGTATCAAACAGACTGTAAACATGGTAACAAACATGTTCTGCAGTCAAATCAATTTTTACACATTATCAATTTGTCAAAATTAGACTTTATCTAGTGTATTGCATTGTATATAAGATTGAATTCTCGCTGTTCACATCCATTTCCACAGCATGGTCCCAATTCCAAAATAAATGCCAAAAAATTTAAGGGTCAATTCTTGAGATCAAAATAAGATTTCGCCCACATGGTTCCAAAAATTCTTTCTGAGCTACAACAATATAACAGTCTGGAATATGTATGTTTCTAAAATGATTAACTCCCCCTCACCTTCTCAGGTAGACCGTCATAGAATGTTTGTATTTTTATGTAATTTTAAATGCAGAGTCGAAACTTTTTAATTTAAAAAATTCTTTAGGTGAGTATGTGAATTTTTCTAAATGTATATAATAGATTGATTTCTAGGTACTTGAGCAAATATTTTTTTTCTCAATCAACCTGGGAGGTAAATGGAAACCATTTTTGGCTTTTTCAAGACAGGGTTTTCTTTGCCATTTAGGGTTAAGAAAATCTTTAAAGATTTTTAGAAGCTTAGTTCACTCTGTTTATAGTAAATTGGATTTAAAAAAATGCAGGTGCCTCTTTCCTCACTAAAATACTTACCGAAAACTACTGAATCACTACATACATTCTGTAAGACTTATATGCTCTATAAATAACTGCAGAAAAACTTTTAAATAATTTTCTCCAGCTCTCTCTGATTCTATCATTAAAGTGCAATTTTTTAAGCAGAGAGACGGTCATAAATATAAATGGACCCCTTCAATTATTCACCGTGAGATGTTCATAGTGGATTTCATCTCCAAGAGTTCTGTAGAATGCCTAATACAGGGAGACACTTGAAATTGTGAGCAATTAGACTTATTTTCTTCTGTTTCCAAATCTTAGACAGTTGTAGCTCAGAGGAGTTTAATTTTGTAATCATGTTGTAGCCATTTAAGTTTTATTCTAGCCTCAAGAATAGATCCCGGATTTCTTGGCTGTTATTCTTAGGACATTCTGTATAAATATTTCTAGATTTATTATTTTTAACAATTTTGACAACTTTTGTAGCAATGAAATTTATATGTTATATTCTAATTTATATTAAATTGATCTTCCAAAATTGTACCAGATTTTTCTCTTTTAACATTCGGTAGTGACTTTATCATAGTTCGAAATGAAACTTGCTAGGTAAGAAAGAGTTGAATCTATGTTAATTGAGGCACTGGATGGGAAAAGAGCACTTCTCGATTGCAGGGTTTCGGAGTCTCCTCTAATATTTCATTCATTATAAGGAAAGTGAATGCATCCATTTCACTCAAAATTTTATTGAATATTCCTCATGATTCTACAATTTTCTATGGAAAGAATTCCGGAGAGATCACCCATTAAACTCTTTTCTAAGGGATTAATTAGCAACAGAGATTCTGAAACACCGCAGTAGAGAAGTGCCCTTTTTGCATCCAGTGCCTCAATTTTATGCAGCAACATTAAAAGAGAAGAAAATCAGCACTCTTCTGGATCATTTATCTGATATTGAGAAATTTCAAATGGAAAAAGGGAGCTGGGAAGTGTAAAAGAATATTTTTAGACCCTTTTTTCTTGAAACTTGAGTGTTATTAAGTTCAATTAATAAAATTTATTGTGCTCCAGAGTGTGTGATAGAACCATCAAAAAAAAATATTAAAATTTAGCAGATGTACAATCTCTGAGTAATTCAAGTGATTTCCTTTTCTAGAAATTCTGTTAATTAATTTTCCAAATATGACGAAAAGTCTGCAATATCCTAAATGCTTGTTTATAAGTGCAGCCATCAATGCTTTTTTTAATGTTGGCAAACTTTTTATCAAGGCAAACAAGAGGATAGTATTATAAAATCCAAATAAAAGTATTTGTTGAATTTGTCAAAGAAGTTTATTAGAAACATTTTGGCTTCTTCCAACAAATTTTGTGAAATATTAATAACAAAAACAGAAAGAACTACAAAGGTAAAAAGATTTTTTTTGGAAAATTAAATGCACCCTTCAGCCACACAATCCATCAGAGCTACACGTGATTTTTCTTGTTCCAGCCATAAAATTGAGACCTTTAAGTGAGGGTTGAAAACCACCGCCTTCCTCTATTGCCATAAAATACTGAAAAAGAAAAATTGAATAAGATATGAATGCTAACAATGGAGAGTAATAAATGAATCAGTTTGTAACCATTCGCTGAGGAGTATAAGTTAAAAAACATATTGGCTGCGAATAAAACTAATAAAATTATTTTGTCTCTAACAGCCTGAGGCCTGTTTGCTAGTTTCTCCTTACATGCCGACAATTCTGCTGCACAGAGGAGTCTCTAAGCGTAACAGTGTTTCAAAGTGTCTTTGACGTTTTTTATTTGATCAAGTATGGACCATCTATCTAATTCCTTTGAAAAGGAAAACACACAGAATACCAAGAAATCGTCACTGGCTATTTTTTTATGTTTCATCTAATGTTCTTTCTAACCTGCTCGTCACAAGAAACTTTGAAACATTAAACTTTCCATGTACTAATTTTGAGGAAAACAGGGCTCATAAGTGCAGTTTTAAAGCCGTTATACATGTATTATCAGGTTGAAATGTTGCAATTTCCTATTGGTGATCAATGAGAGCTTTTGCTACTGCCGGGATCACACGCTAAATGTGGCTTGAATGTGGAGGTCATCGGCCCGATGCCTGAATTTTCAGCGACCATCAGATAATGTTGGATTTGCCTGAACTATTCGAATAGATTTGCTACAGATCTGGATGAAAATAACTCGAATTTGCGAAATTTCAGCCGTTGAGCGATGAACGTTGACTTCCATATTCAGCTGCTAAATTCAGCATGTGATTCCAGCATACCTCGCAGGCTGGGGAGGCACAACAAATTAAAAGAATCAAATTCCTTCAGATGATGATAGCAGTGTCTTCAGGCATATATTTCCAATAGAAAGTACGGGTAAGAAGGTGGGAAAATTCAGTTTACAGCCCCGTTTTCCTCGGTATTGGCAAAGAGAGTTCAACTTTAAAAGCTCATCGAGCTCAATAGGTTGTAAGGAACATTATATCAAATATTTACAAAATTCAATTGACACCAAATATTCAGGTATTCCATGCCGGTGGGGGGTGTCTGTTCTGCTATTTTTTTTAGCACAACAGGTACCAACAGACGATGAGAGGTATGGCACTCAGCTGCTGTCGTATCTTGCCTGGCTCCATCGCTATTTCTCTTAGCTCCCAGCAGAGCCAAGCAAGACGTGCACGGTTTGTTTGAGCCTAAGTTAAATGAAAAAACCCATTACATCTGATTTAAATTTTAAAAGTCGAAAATTGAAAAAAAAAAAATTAACACGATACATGAGTTACTTCTCCAGGGAGCTCTTCCCGCAAGAAATCGTTCACCACCCGGCGCCGGGAGAGCCGCGGCGTGCTGCCAGCGCAAAACGCGCACCGACGCCAACAAACCCAAGGGGCTACTTCACGCATTGCGCAATGCTTGAAGTATCCCTTTAGGTTTGTAGGCGTCGGTGCGCGTTTCGAGCTGGCGGCACGCCGGCCACGCCATAAACCTACACGCAATTAATAAGTCAGGGTGTTAAAATCTTGGCAATTTGACATCAAATTTGAAATTAGCGACTCAAAAATCAGAAGTATTGTAACTTCCGTGATCTTTCAGTTATTTCTTCCTATTCATGAGTGTTGGACCATACTGCACTGCGGGCGGCGGCTCATGAAATTCTCCCCTGAGCTCAATCAAACTTTCATCGGCGCGTCCATAGTTTCTCCGCAAATAATGATCGCAGAAAGAAACTGATTGTACGTGACTATAACCATACTATAATCCTTGTAGTAACGTTGAGAAAATTTTGCAAGTATGGCTTATGTTTGAGAAAATCGCTCAGATACATCGAAAATCATGGAAAAAACGACAGATTTCGGCAAAGCGCCAAGTGGTGGCTGTTTTCTGAGTTACAGTGGTAGGGTTCCACCTTAAGAAAGAGACAAGAAATAGAAATGAACAAACCTGAGGAGAGAAAAATCTGGAAGACCAGGATCTGGACCTCTCTTGAAACCTAGAAAAGTGAAGATAAGAAAATATTTAGGAGAAAATAGAGGGAATTCGAATACACTAAGTATAGAATTAAAATGGGTGAATTTGGTGAAATACCTATTATCATAGAATACCTACCTGAACTTTATTACTGAAGTGATTCGCAACAGTTTCTGGCATGATCAAACTGGCATGCTATATATCGCATTAATTAAGTCAAAAATCTCGGCAGATTTTGAATTTTTAGCCAAAAAAGCAATTGCCCCTACGCATGAGCCTGAAGAATCATTCTAAACCAAAAGATTGGCAAAATTCAGATAAATGAAAGCAGCAGTCTCTTTGGAAAAAACCTCACATTTGATACCGTTTTTTATTTCTGTATCAAAGGGCAACCCATCTCAAAATCTGCCGAGATTTTTTACTTGATTGACGTCAGTTCAACTACATCAGAAACCGGAACAAATCACTTCAATTAAAATTGATAACTGAGGAATGGTAAGAATTTTTATTAAGGAGTTAGTTGACAACAATCGAGGCATTAACGTGATTCGATGGACGCCATATTCTGTGTCCGAGCAACGTGTGATATATCCCATCGATTAGTTCCATGTTTTCAACTACATGTCATTTTTATCGAATTTTGATACCGCATTTTGTTGTCACAAGACTAAAAAATTCATCTAACAAACTGATGAAAGCAGGGTTTTTTAGAGGAAAAATATTGCATTCAATACTCATGGCAAACCTGCATTCAAATGATTTATCTCCTCTAAAAAAAACCCCTACCTTTCATACATTGAATTTGTTTATCAAATTTTGTAAGTGAATTCTTTAGTCTCATAAAAACAGAAATGCTATCTTAGAATTTGATAAAAATGACAAGTGGGTAGCTGAAAACATGGACTAATTGATGCGATATATCGCACGTCATTCAGGCACGAACTGTGGCGTCCATCGAATCATCTTAAATGCAAAAGGGGCACTTCTTCGTTGGAGTATCTCCACTGCTATATTATATTTTAGAGAGGAAAATACTGGGTGACTTTTCTGATATTTATCGTTTCGAGCATCGTAATCCTATAATGCTCTGAACGATAAATTTCAGAAAAGAAAAAAGATTCGATAAAAGTTGAAACACATTATATACGCTCGCATTCATCGTAATAGATGAAATGTTTGCAGCGGTGTAGGAACCTTACAGAGAGAGTACGGAAATTATAATGGTTTTTTCCTAGAATAATTTATGATAAGAGCCGGATGTCTTAAACACATCTAAGAATCAGGCTTCTTTTGACTGGTAATACATTTTCGGTGCTTCCTTGCACCCAATTGAATCCTTTTGAAGAAATTCCTAGTAGATTCTTGTATTGGTGAGGAGAAGTATTAGGGTTTCAACATTTTCAGGGCTAACTGACTGCAAATATTTGGGCACAAACTTTGCCCATGATTGCAATTATGTAGGCACTAATAAGAAATATAAAGGCAAAATTTGTGCATGGCGCCTGTCAGATTTGAACACTGGTTAGCAAGATTCTGAGGGCGTGAAAGCAAGGGAAAGAGAGGTTATAATACCTCAGTGTTACCGTTCTGCGTACGCAACCCCAACGGCAAATTTTGCAACATTGCGCAAAAAATTTCCCAATTACGCATGCCATTAAGCAGGAAAAATTGTCAAAATACGCAGATATCACGCAAACATTTTCAAATTACGCAGCAATAGGGCAGTTTAAGACAAATTGTGAACAATCAAACGCTTATTTTGAAATTCTGAAATATTTTTGTTTCCTATGTAAGGTGGGAATTTAGTAGCAAAGTTTGCAGCATTGCTTCTAGGTAAAAAACTATCTTCACTAAAACCGTTTACCAAGATCGGCAAGACGTACCTAACCTAAAAACCGCGATAATAAACTGATTTTTAAAAAACTTCAATTACGCAGATTTCTTCAAATTACACAGCATTACACATTATGCAGCCACTCTCCAACTACGCAAAAGAAGTCCTCAATTATGCAGAATGGTAACACTGTAATACCTAACGCTAGGATTAAGATATCACTGTGCCTTCCGCAGAACCGCAGAAGATAGAATCTTTGCTACCAGACTGATAGAGAAGATGCATTTAACCATGTGCAATCAGTGGTAGGTAATTAAATGATCTAATAGACAGAAACAGGGCAAAATAACAGGATATTATAAAACATGTCGACTGGAGTAGCTGCAATCAACAGAGAAAAGAACTCACCAAGATATAAGATCCCTGGGATGTAGCTCCAATGGAAGATCGTTGTCATGAATCCAATAACAGTAGAAAGTCTCTTTTTTGCTTCAGGACTCATTATTAACGTTCTGAATCAAGCGATTAAATAAATTAATAAAATAATCAAAAGGTTCGTGCGGTCGTGCCAATGGAAATAATGGAATGAATTAGGTTAGGGACAACAGAAACAGAATGTTTTCCAGCACCAGAGACTCCCTGCGCGCGCCCTGCCCAGCAGCCCAGCACGCCCAACCGAAGAAGAAGAACAGTGCTGGATAAGGAAAGTAATTAGAAAGTAATGTTTACATTATTGTCCACGGCCGGAGTCCGTGGCGGTCCTCAACGTTGTCTTTTTGTTTTTTGAGCGTTTGTTTTTCATGGTATAAAGGGACTCTAGTTTTTCAGCTACTCTGACACAAATAAATGTATTCGTTTGGCAACAGTGCAATAACGCTGGAAAGTACAGTGAACGCGATGAAACGGGAGTGAGCCTTCTGCCTTTCTGCCTTGCAGCTGAGGCATGGCGGCGGTGTGGACCATGTGGCTGATTAGGTTATGTCAATAGTTAGTTTTTGAATTTGTAAATATTATATTCATGATAATATCCATTTTCTTGGATGACAGTGTTTCGAACTGGTCTCTGGTTTCGCAGGAGATATTTCTGATTTATTTAGCGTTATCGTGGTATCAGTCACTGACTTATAACAGGCGACAATTAGTCTTTTTGCCAAATTTTGTCATGTTATCGGTCACCCGTTGGTCACTCTTTTAGATTGAAATATCAACTATGTAATGGAAGCGGCTCCTTTTACGCCTCTACGGTATTGTAGAAAGGAGATAACATATTCGGAGTAGTGAGACTGTTGCTCACTGTGATGTCATACACTAGTTCATTTCAGGATTTTATATCATAGTAAACAATGGCTACATTGAATCTACGGGTGACCACAACGAAAACATCTTACAAATCAAACAAATCCCCCTTCGGAACCTTATCAAAAGATCTCTTAGAATCGCTCAGCATACATCCTAGGATTAATCATGCTGAGCTTTCAAGTGAATTATTGGCAGCTGACTCATTGGACGCCCAATTAAGGATACTTCATCAAAGAGTTGAAGATGAATTAAATCAAGACACCATGGAAATATCGGAGTCTCTTGAGTATTTGCTGCTGCTGTACTTTAAATTACCTCCACCAAATCCCCTGAAAGCCCGATTGCTCAAGTGAGTACCAAGCTCAATTTTATTGCCGTATAATCATTAATCTTGTGTACCGAAATAGCAGCAGAAAACTGACTTTTTCCTTGGACGAGTCCATCAGGATCGTGTTTTTTGTTAGTTCTAATGCGCCCTGGTATCACCCCCAAAAAATTACAGAAAGTCTGGTTTTTAGTATGCGAGCTTCAGCAGTGTGCGCCAGACACCCAGTACGTGCCAGACACCCAGTACGCACCAGGCACCCAGTGTGCGCTGGGAGAGGCGAAGGACCCTTGATTCACCTTGTGCAGTCCTTTCGGCACGCACTGTTAACGCGCGTGCGCTCCAAACCGGACTTTTCAGAATTTTTTGGGGCTGTTTCCAGGGTGCATTGGAAAAAACCAAAAAACATGGTCCTAATGGATTCATCCAAAGAGCTCGTACGAATATTTTTAGTCCAATCGGAGGCGGTAGCTTGGGAAGTTCCCCTTGTTAGCTGTGTCTACGTCGATATTTTTGTCTCTTTAAGCCTGTGTTCCTTATTGTTTCCTAGACTTTAGTGTATGGATACTTTCAAACACAGTAAAACTGCAATTATCAGACCCAATTGATGCACGGGCTGGATCAGATACAGATGAAACAAGATTATAATTAATTATACTTGCTGATTAACAGCAACTTAGCCTAAAGTATGCAGTCATGGATCTCTGCCTCCTAGATGTGTCAAGTTTGTGTGCTGCTAAATCGTAGCAGTTCTTTTCTTGCCAACAAATCCAGTTACTTGAACCTCAGCAAAGTTTAGAGTCGATTCCGTTTTATGCTCTGGCATTGTTGCAAAATGAAGGAGGAGAATTGAAGGTTTGGTCAGTGCTAAACCTGATACTTAATTCAGACTTTACTTACCGTAAAATAATAAAATTGATCTTTCATTTCAGAATGTTCAAAAAGTGGTCAGGAGAGAAAGAAAAGCCCTTCAAGAAATTTTGGGATCATACTATACCTACTATTTTGGCTGAGGAAAAGATGGACTCCTCAATCAGCGTGAAGAATATTACCACCCTTTTGGAGTATTTTGAAGATAATACTGACTTGCTCATGGGTCTGTATCTACCGTTCATAAAATATGTTGAGTGTGTGATCAAAACAACCATTGATAGCAGTTTAAATCCAGGACTATTACCTTTGCAGAAATTGATTTGTTATGAGTGCATTCATAACTGTGTTCGAGCTTTTTTGCTGATCATCAGCTCCTCTGTTGATCAAAGGATTGTTGCAGACCTTGATGATGAAGGTATTCTGAATACCTTAGAAACGCCCATGCAAAATTCTGAGTTACCTCTAGATACAAAATTGAACTGTGGTCTGCTTTTCATGCGAATAACTTTGAAAGCAAAGGGAGAGTCAGATTTTTTTAAAACTTTTCAGAGACATGCAATCAATCATTCACCAAGTTCACATGACACCACCCATGGAGTTCGTGATTTGTTGACACAGATCTCTTGCTGTGCACCTTTGTTAAATATTTTCACAATCCCAGAATTGAGCAGCAGGCATATCGAAAAATCAAGTTCCTCCGTGTTCTCAGAATTTTGTGTGTTTCTGTTTAACATGACCAAAACCCCTGCAATTGATAAAAACACTATCTTAGCTCTAAATATCACAATCGAAAGATTGGCGGAACAACTGTCAAAGTATCCTGCGCATGCTGAAATGGAGCTCTCGCAAAAGTTTTTGAACTACATTATAACACACATTGATCACTATCTGGACACAGTGAGGCATAGGACAAAAACAATTTTCGAGCACTTCATCAATTTCACTTCATCTAGCACATCCATGAGAGATGAATTAATTACTTCCTTGAGGGAATCAAAGATGACAAGTCGGTTTTTCTGTTTTGGCATTCAGCTGCTTGCAAAACAAATGAAAGTAAATTATCTATTTTCCAAACTTTCTTTAGAGGTGTCATGTTTCATTCAAATGTATGTCAAGGCCTTCACAGAGATGCCAGCATCAACACATCTAGTCTCAACATTCTGCACGCTTATGTGTAACCACTTCGAAGAAATTCAAATGGACAGTTGGATATCTACATGGATTAATCCAGTGCTTGAAGCCCTAAATCAACAGCAGACGCCAGCTCTTGAGCAAGTTTGTAGCCGAGCTGTTCAGCATTCACCACTAATCATCAAAATAATAGCTTTTAAGGATCAGCAAATTGATTACGCAACCTTCATTTGTCTGCATATTGCAGTGAAGAATGGTCTTGCACCTGATCATTCTGAAACAACCAGTCAACTTGATTTTTGGAAAGGACTGATTCCGTATGAAACCCTGCTAAGTGCAGTGTGGCATCAAAATGATGATATTCGATTGTTAGTATTCCTTATGGTCTCTGTAAGCAAAAAAACAACCCAGTCATTCTGTGCTCAAGAGCTAAATGTGATATTGTCTTTCTTTAAGTATAATCTCAACAACCAGAACTCTGCGTTTCGGCAAAAATTTCTCTCGCATTTGAAAAAGTTTTTGTTACGTTTCCAAGATAGCCTTCAGTCCTTGAAACGATTGCAGACATCTTCATCAAAACAATCAACAGAAATCTATCTCCAATTTAGGGAGAATTTAGTCGCCACCTGTGCAGAAAATCTATTTCCATCTGCAAATTTTGGTCGCAGATGTACTGTTTTAAATATTTTAAAAACATGTTTTGATTCAAATATTTTTACTGGTTTGGTGTTCCCAAGCTCACTATCCAAAGGTTTACTCAATTGTTTAAATGACACCTATGAAGAGAATAAAGTTCTAGCTAGACAGATTTTACAGCTCATTTCCAGAGAAAGTCCACAATCAGAAATATTGCCTGAATCTATGGAAAATCTCCTAGAGCATTTGATGCATGTGATCAAAGATCTAATTTCAAGCACGCATCCCTCAGACTGTGTCACAGCTGTGTATTTTCTTGGCTTCTGCATCGACAAATTGCAAGTTGAAGCAACAAAAACTGTCACACCTCAGTCAGATGCTAAGGGCTCTCTCTCTCTGTAAGTATTTTCTGGTAATCAGTATTATTCGTAGGTAAATATTTTCACTTTATGTTTAAAATATTCTTGATTTTGATGGTTTTTAGGGAAACAATATTTTCTGCCTATCTCCTCATTGTGCAATTGCACTGACAGTGATATCTTTGAATTTTTCACATTTCCTTTTCAATCATGATAACAGGAGTAGGAAGGAAACCTGAAAAGCAAGCTGGAAGCTTTCTTGTACTGTTATTGCAATGCATGACTATTTTCTATGATCATCAACCTGAATTTTTTGCAATTCTAATGGTAATTCCCCTCTAAGGCAAACCAACTGAATCATTCCTTTCATCAAATCTCCATTCTCATTTAATTTTGTCAAAACCTTCCTAACCGAAGATTTTTTGTCACTAATAGTATTTACTATACACATTTTTCACTTGCAGTTAAAAATTTGATGCAGAATAAGTTTAACTTTAATATCGGTTTTAAAAGAGGTACCTAGAAAAACCTTAATCTTTTTTGGCTGTTCCAGCTGCAAAGATTGGACGATATTTTACTTGTCAGAAATGATTGGTATCCTGGAGAATCAAGTAAGGATAGCGGAAGTAAATATTTTAGAAGCGGCCGTAAACGGCCCAATTTATGGAGTTATCTTCGTCATCAGACATTTAATATCTTCAATAGATGTGCAGTATGTATGCTGTTGTTTGTCTTTTTTTTAATTCCAAATTTTGCTTTATTCAAACTTAACCATGCTCTTCTTAATTTTTATCGAAGTAGGTATCTGGGTGCTCTCATATAAGGTTCTTATTTAAGGTCCAACTTATATAAGCCAAACATAATCTTGACCAATCTAAGTTGCAGAAGCAGGAAATACAGCTCGTCACGCTTAATAGTTAAAGCAAAAACCCGAAATTTGATGGTGATGTATCACTGTAAGAAATTTGCTGGGACCTATTGATTACCAATTATTGGTCAATAATTTAGGATTGAATCTTATCAGCTGGCTTCTATTAATACTAATTTACGAGTGGTGGTTTAGTTGTATTCTTTGGTAAACTTAACATTCGTGAAGTTATCCTGTTTATAAACAAATCTAAAATTAAAGTTTTTTTTAAAAAAAGAAGAAAAGTGCCACCCCTACTTTTTCAATGTGCTATGTCTCATAAGAATATACTATATTCATCATCCATAACAGAAAATCATGAATTTTATTGTATTTATCACAGATCTTTCAGTACAGATTCATTTTTGCAATTGGAGATGTCAAAAATCGTTGAACTTTGTTTTTCTGCAAGCTCAGCTGTAAGTCACATAGTCAATAATCTATCTCCAGAGGGGCATTTACCCATGGATTTCACAGGTATCAATTTTAAGAAATTATGGTTTGCTTCAAATCTCTCACATCCAAAAATATTTGAATTCTAAAATCTAAATATCTATTCAGATTTTTGTGTAGTAATCCTGAAAGAAGAATGATGGAAAGAGGAAAATGACATTTTTTACAAAGGAGGCTAAACGCATGAACAAGAAGAGGTTTCCAAATTTTAAAACAAAAGTGAAGGAAGAAAAACCTGTTGCCTCATGATTATTCTTTAGCCTCCTGCGTTTGGCTTCAATATTTGATTTTAGTAAAATCAGTAACTTCGGATATTTCTGAACAGTCCTAAAAGCCATCTAATGATGCTGATAATCGAGACACCTACCATACAAAATAAACTCTGTCAGAAAACAAAAATCAGCTCTTAAAAATGTGTGTTGTTGATTTAAAAGAGCCCAACTGAAGAGCCCAAGAGACCAACTGATTGAGATTTATAACTGTCAAAATGAAGAAAAACCCAAATCAAATACAAACTGGGAGGACACAATACCTCTAAAGTTTTGCATCTTTCCTCCTCCTTATTTATGCACAAGAACATTCTTATCCTTTCGCATTATCATTAGTCTAACTGCTCCAGAAAGTTTTTTCTTGCTTCTTCTAAAACCAAAGTGTGGTTATCATAAACTCTAAGAACTGTTGTTATAAGGTACTGAAAAAGTTAGGACTTAATTGAAAGTATTGCTCATCCATCTTATCTGTTTAAAAACACATGTTACAGTCATTGAAGATTCGAATTTAAACAACGGAGTAAAAACGAAAGGAATGCACGCAACCTCTCAACTGTTACTCCTATGCGCGTGGCGGACCATAAAAGAAATCTCTTTGTTATTTGGTGAACTTATTGAACGAATTCCAGTTGTTAAGGAAAAAAGTCAAGGCTTTCTGACAGAGGAACTTTTACTGACAATTGGATCATACTTCATGAAAGCTCTCTCTCAAATCAAGCATCGCGGAGCATTCGAACAGGCATACATTGGCTTCACAAAGGTGTGTCTTACCTTATGGAGGTCAGTATAAACCTTAATGTAATAATTTGATTGGAATGGGATGTATCAGAAAATATTTTCATTCATAAATTGAGAATATCAGAGATGTTGGCAAGTTAGCAATATTGTAGAAAATTCTAAAGCACTGTGGAGGCAAAAGGAATTTTATTTTTGAATGCATCTCATTGCCACTGTATCTGTTTTGTGATAAGCTATCAGGACATAAATATGTACCTATCTAATACAATAATTCTGTACGGAAAATCTATACTGAAGGAACGTTATTTTTACGTATAATTGGCACTACAGGCACAACACATGAATTAAGCCGAATGCAAAATCTCTCTGCAACTCCAGCAGTAAATCAATCACTAAGTGCACAAACCTAACTCAATTGCAATATTTAAAAATCTCTGATAATGTTTTATGTTCCAAAAGAAAATGTAATCGAAATTCCCGCTTGCAATTTTGTATGATATTCTGGAAATGAGTGAGGAAAAGAGAAGTTGCGATTTGGGCCAAAATGGCCCCTCCGCGAAATCGGGAAATTTTTGGATTTTTGACGGTTGGCGATGCTTATTAAACAGAAATAAACGAGTTTTGTCTTTGCTCACATTTTTTGGCTGCAAAACAGGGGCTTAAACATGGCTCTGGAGCCCAAAATAGCTGAAAATTCGCGTTTTTTGCGGTTCTACCTCAGATTTTGACCTGGGCCTATAGAGGATGGGTCATGAGCTTCGAATTTAATGTCAGGGGTACGTAACATACTTGAATATGATCAACCATTCCCTTTTAGCCCAAGTTCAAAATCAAACTTCCCTATCTTTTTAGCCCAAAATAACTGAAAGTCCAAGTTTTTTGCGGTTCTATCTGAGATTTCGACCCTCGCCCAATGGCAACAGTTGATCATATTCCAGAATCTTATGTGCGCAGGTGTTCCTGACATCATATTCAAAGCTCATGACTTGTCCCCTTTGGGCCCAGGTCAAAATCTGAGGTAGAACCGCAAAAAACATGGATTTTCAGCTATTTTGGGATCTGGAGCCCCTGTTTTGCAGCAATAAAAGGTGAGTATCTGCAAGACTCAATTTTTTCTGTTTAATATGCATCGTCAACCGTCAAATATCCAAAAATTTTCAGATCCCGTGGAGGGGCTGATTTCAGCCCATAAAGCAACCCCCTCCTTCCCCAGGAAGTTTCACTAGAAACTGTAGGTTAGTGTTTGTATATATCTAAAAGTGAGGGTTTGTATGTATGTGTGAGGGTGTGCGTACATGTGAGGGTGAGTGTGTTTGTGTGTATATATAAAATATGCGTGGAGCCTTACAACGTTGCAATCTGAGGTCTGCATTTTTCAACTTCAGCCATCTACATATCATAAACGAGCAGTGATATAAGTTTTCATTTTTTTTTTTAATTTTCTTCTGTGTCTGAGTTTGATTCTCTCTTTTATCAAATACTGGTAATTGTAATCAATCATGGGTTTTTTATTCATTTGTTTTTAAAAGTGATTGAACTCCATGAAACTGCTTCGATTGTTTTTCAGCCGGAACTCATTCCTATCTTTTGATCTTTGATTCCAGATGTCCTATCAAAGAACTGGCAGACTTGCCAGGAACCTGGTTGGAAGAGATGATGACTGAAATCACGACTGCTAGTGATAAACTCTGTGCAACACGACGTAGTGCAGGGGTGCCTTTTATCATTCAGGTATAGAGGTTTGCATAATTTCTCTCAATTGTCTTTTGAAAAACCTCTGCATCCATTGGTTAATATGTATGTTACATATGTAAGACTAAAAAGATAGAGTCTACGCCAAACAAGTTTACACATTTTTAGACTGCCACAGAAGATCCGCCACCTTGATTCTTGCATTTACTTTCAATGACAAACTGACGTCAAGTTATCTTCTGTCACAGTCTAAAAGTAAATAAACTTATCATACCAAGACTCTAAATTATGGATATAAGAAAGACTACCTATTGTAGGTAGGACTACGTACACTCTTATAGGAAGTAATTTTTCCTATATTTACAGCATATAAGGATCCCTGCCTTGGAAAGTTTCACGCAACAGTTTATTTCTTGTTGCATCAGCAGATACACTTTTGATATTTTTTTCAGACCCAAAAGAAAATTCACATTCTGAGAGAAATTGTACAGTTGTTCTTGAGTTATCAAATAGATTGTTGAGTAAAAACTTCACAACATTGCAGTGCCAAAAAGTTTTGACTGCTTCTTATCAGATCAGCAATCTGAATGTTATCAGAATCTTGTCAGATTCTTTTTCACAATTTTAAAAACTGTATTGGGTTTCATACTGTTGCCTCTTATGCATCTCCAAAGGAAACTGCATACAATTCACAAACAAAATTCAAAAAGTATAAAATTACTGTCTTTCTGTTTGGACAAAGTTACTGGATTGGACTTATTCTCTGTGTTTCAGGCTCTGCTGGTGTCGGAACACGAAATTTCTCCGGCATCAACTTGTTTCCATGCGGCAATGAGCCAACTTTTGGATCTGTGTGAATCATCAGAAAAGTCATCAATATCCAAGATTCATGCTCTGAATATTCTACGGAGCTTGTTTAGGAGCACTGAACTTGGTGATCAGGTGAATTCTTATGTTGCTCGCGGTGTCAAAATTGCTGTCCTGGGTTTCAATGCCTCCTCCTGGTCGGTAAGTTTCTTTAAATGTGACTATCAACAATCAATATCATGGAAATTTAATAAGAAAAATCATGTTCGGATATCACTCGTGTTGTAATGATTATTTCACATCTTGTGAAAATTTATCAAAAGAATCAGTCAACTTCATAAACTCAAATATCCCAGCGCTTTTGGTTGTTTGGATTGAGCTATTCTATTATTTTTTGTGGGTCCCATTTCGTTGTTTTTGCTTCTTCCTATTTTTTTGTAGAACTGAGATGAGAAAAATGCAGTGAACGCAATTCAATCATTGCATTTTCTTTTAATTAGACTTTCTAATTCGTTTCCTCTGTGTTTCTTAGTTCAGCCATGATCTGTTGCAGGTGCGGAATGCCTCAACTCTTTTGTTGAGTGCTCTCTTAGTTCGAATATTTGGTGTGCCGCGGTCAAAGGAGACTCTGACATGGAAAAACAAAATGACAGGTCGTATTTTCTTCATGCGCTATCCATCCTTGTATGAGTTTTTCCTCTCCCAGTTAGAAATATTCGACTCCAATAATAGTAATTTGGAAGTGACAAACGCCAGTGAATTAACCATTTTTCCAGTTTTGATGATTTTAGCTAGATTGTATCCTTCATCTTTAGAGGGCACAGATTCCAATTTACAGGTAATTATTTCCCTTTCCCTTTCCCTCTTTCTATATTTGTTTATCCTTATTTCTAAATGTAAACATACAGCACTCAATTTCATAAGAAGCAGTAACATTTCATTTTCCCCACAATATGAATTTCTTTACATTGAATTATTCCTCAGAATGACTTAAAATCCTCAGAAGAATTCAACTCTACTTTGAAATATTTTTTCTTCTTTATTAGGAAAAGTCTTTATTTTATTCACTCCTTGAAAGAAAAGGAAGGCCAAAACCTTGTGTTTAAAATTCAACATTATTTGAAAGTACTTGCCATAGAAAGAAAACATTTTCATAGTTTCTCTATTTACTCACATAAACTTTCTGTCCCATCAACCTTTTGTTTTCCTGTTTTTTTGTTTTTTTTCTGCCATTACTTCTTACACTCCAATTAGTTCAAGGCTGAGTAGAAAAAAACCACCATTATTGACCACAGTTAAACAACTCTGCAATGCTTCTTACTTGGTTCATTAATAATAAGAATTGGTATTACTGCATCACTTTACCCTCTTATTTTCACTATTTTCCTCATCACTTTTTGAGCTTGAAAATAATTTGCCTACTTCTAAACAATAAATAAAGAAACTCATGAGTTTGAGTTACACTTTTTCTTGTCCTATTTTTCAGGTTTGAAATTTCAAACAATGTAGGGGTGGGGGAGGGGCAAAATTTAACGTTGGGTGCTACAGGACGTGGCATAATAGCATTATTGTTTCAATGACAAGTTGGGTCTAATACTGGAGCTGTCAGGTTTAATTAAATTATGAATAACACTATTTACCTGTTTGATCTCTTGTTTGTTCTTTGTGATTTTAGCTATCTACTTTTATCAAATATGTCCTCAATGCGAGCAAAAGTGGAATCCATGAAGTCCGTATTCTTGCCGCAACAGCGATTGCCTCTCTCATCTCAAGGGAAAGCACTGCAGATTGCGTTAGAAATCTGTTCAATGTTTTAGATGCTACTCAGTCTGACAATGCAAGGCATGGCACTCTTCTCCAGGTATTTGCTAAAAATAATCATTAGAATTTTTTTGTGTCTGTAAAGCTTCCACTCGATGTTCCATGACGAATTTATAGACAGATGACAAAACCAGAAGCTGACAGTAGTCAATCTCCAAAGGATTGAAATAGTTTGATGTCACTGCTGCCCATGAAGTCTGAAGGATGTGAATTTTGTAACGTTTAAACAAGTTCATGATCAAGGCAAATACAAACACCCAATTCAGGAAAGCCGTCTATGCCGAATATGGTAAGGCGTCTGAAGTATATGGCAACCTCTCCCTCCCCGTGCCAAGAAATTAATGCCATTGCGTTGGCAAGTATATTTGCTTTGGAGTAAATATTCTCTCCTTTTTACTCAAAGATGTCGGGGTAAAAGCCTTTTTTTCAGGTTTAGCAGGCAATAGCAGGTACGAAAATGACAAAATTTTGATTGCAAGTATCACATCACCTGGAGAAAATATTAAAAATCCCATTAAAAAATGGTGAAGTGGAGGTTGGTTCAAATGTAAGTTGAACGACGTTTTGCTAATGGGAACTACAATTTCTCTGTATGTGTATTTCATCTGTAATAACACTTATGTGCAGAAGGAAAGTAATGGTCCATACATTGTTTCTAAAATGAATCAGAAATTGTATTATTATATTATATATAATAATCTCATTATTTTTGATTCAACCAGTTGAAGTCTATTCCAGCGATGAAACAATAATACTTGAAAAAAAATAGAACTCAGGGGTTTAGCATTTTGCATAAGTTGAAACTGGAGGAACCTAAATTAGCCTCAGACTTGTCAGAGCTCTTTGTCAAGGTCAAGATTGACTCCTAAACATCCCCTCTGAAACTTGCGCCCTCTAACAGTTCTTCTTTGCTTATTTCAATTCTACTCTATTGGCTGCTCCTCAAATAATTATGAGATCTCAGCTCAAATTCTTTCTGTTATCTTGCAATTGATGATTATTTTTTTTTCCATTTTCAGTTGAGTCAAATCATACAAACATGGAAGTCACATCAGTATGGAATGCAGCCAGCCATTCAGAATCATGTTATTTTCAAATTAAATAACATCGTCCCTAAAATTTTGGATTTAAATACTAGTCTAGTGGTCAAAGAGAGCATATTGAAACTTGCATTTTATTCATTGACCAGTTTCGGACATCATTTTAACCTCAAGTGCTTAATTTCCGCCCATTCACTCTTAGAGGCACTTAATAACAGTTCAAAGCCTTTTATTTACGCAGTAGGAGACACAAACTTAAAAGTTACTTTAGTGTTAATATTAGCCTATGAAATACTCGTATCTGCAAAATTTCTGACAACCTCTGAGGCAATGTCTTCCATGGAATATCAAGATTGGTTCAAGAAAGTCGTTAATTTTTCAAACTTTGTTCTAGGAATAACGAGAAGTTCAGACTTTGATCAGATTGATACAATATTAACATTCTTATTCTATGCACTGTTGTGTGGAAACGAAGTAAATGTAGAATTCAGTCTTCCAAAGAATGAGTGTGAAGATTTAAATGCACTTGTCGTCATTAATCATGATTTTAATCTCTTCAAATACATCTTTAGTATTCTGAAACTATCACCTGTGATGAAAACAGAAATGGGAGAACTTCTAAGCTGTGATACTTTTTGCCGCCAGTTTGTCTATAATTTACAAAAACTTGTAGCTGAAGATGCGCACAATTTGTACAAACACAAGTTCTTGGCTGTACTTCGATTCTTCCCTTCTGCTTTAGAAGCATACTGTGATAATTGCGACAAACTTGTAGCAGGCAGGTGTTCTTTGGATGATAATGCCTCAGCATTCACTTATCTTTCAAAGTCATGCTTTGGGGATAACGACGACTCTGTCACCATCCAAGCTCTTCATTGCATTCGAGCTTATCTCAGTATACAGGTGAGTTTCCTCATACCTTTACTCACTAAGAAAATGTGATTAACACTATACAACAACTGGATTCCCTGCAGATTGATAAAATGCTTATTTTTGCGTAGGCTGTCTACAACTTAAGGATACTGGTTCTTTAGCAAGCTAACAGATAACATTAGCATAAAGCGACCTTTACAGCCTTGAAAAGTAATTCACAAGCTTCAAAAAAAAATTCATAAGATGCTTACTTGGTCAACAACTGCAATAGTCATGACTATAAAGATTCTTTGATAAGATTTACCCTCAAAAATGTTCAGAAATTCAGAAGTATATTTATCAATCCTTTCTCGACTGGCGCTCTCAATTCCAAATTAAGCATCGATTCGATTATATTTTGCAATATATAGAATTGAATGACTGATTGATAAATGGACTGAGTAAATTTTTCGATAAGAAACTACAATTTGTGGCTCATTGGTTAAAACACTTATGCGCATGAAGAAACTACTGGTGCGTATGTTATTTCGAAACAGATAGAAATTTTAGCTCCTAATTGCAAAATTTAGTTCAATTATCTTTTTAATAATTTTGTAACTCTTTGTGCCATTTATATCATTAGCATACGTTCTTGTATCTGCACAGGAGTAAATTATTTTAATCAGTATTCGGATGAAGAATAATTCAATTTATATTTTATATTTTCCATGCGCCCAAAGTTCATCATTAGTACAGCTCAAGTCAGTGTATTTACCACTGACAAATTATTTTAGGGCTATCTATAAAAATGAATTTCTAATTATTTTTTACACTCTTATCTGACAGAAACAAAAAAGGAAGCAATGGTCTCAAAAGGATTTTGAAGACTTGTGCAATATTTTATTTGCCAATGGCTGTGTCCTGGATCAGACAGATCAAATTCGTTATGCTATTTCGCAGACGATTGTTGAAAATTACTCACTCTTCCTTGCCTTCTCTTCACCAATTGACCGTAAGCACCATTTTTATCATTCTCTGAATACTGTACTATTCTCTCCTACATCGAGGAACATAAATATCTACTCCAGTAATTGAATTATATGTGACTGTTGGCAGATTTTAGCTTGTTTTGAAACTGGTCATAAATTGGGAATTTCGAAGCCAAAACACTGCAGGATGAGTTTTTAAAGCCAGAAATTTGAATTTTGGCTCACAAAATGGCCCTTATATTATAAATACGGCTAAACGTGTGAAGGGCATCGATTTTTTTGTAGCGTTGTACTCATCTTTTTAAAATGTTTCTGGTAAGAACGTTTTTCCGGAACCCATTAGTAATGTTTAAATAATGATACCAAGGTAACTTAGGAATCATAGAAGGATTATCCTGCAATACAAAGATTTTTCAAAGAGGAGTTTCCTGAAAAGTGTTGAATGCTGGGTGTCAACACTTTTCAATTTTTTTCCTAATAGTCATTTTAATTTCATAAAGTCTATTTTTTGGTTTCAAATCTTCTTTTCTTCAACATCATTCAGTCCATCTACATTAATTTTAATTACTCGACTTGCAACTGATAGCTACATAGATTATAGCCAGCCAATCATACGTAGACTTGTTGTCTCACCACCCGTGACATCAGCAAGTCTATATAAGCCCGCGTTACGCCCAAATAAAGAAGGAGAGAATTAAAAAATGAGGCTTTGCCGTGTTCACCAATTTTTTATTTCTCTCCCTCTATATTCGCATATTCGGGCTATGTTTTTGTGCTTTATTGCTCCGCCCAAATCGAGGTCTTTTCCCATCTCTTAGACCAGAGACACTTATGTGTTCTCTTAACATCCCTTAGACTCAAGTGACATTTAAACCCTCTCATCAAGTGTCTCACTCTCAGCGCTTAAAGAGCAACATTGTATATGAAATTTCGACATTGTGTGGAATCTCGACTAACTTTTCATTTGCTTTTCGTTTCTATTTTGTGCAACGTTTATCTGTTATTTCAGATAATTACAGTGAAAAACTGTATCTCAAACTTTGCCTCTTTTGTTTTCATCCTGTCATTCGTAGTCCGTTGGCTTTACGTTAATGAAAACCAGCTGGTGCCAAAACAGTTATTATTTTGAACTTTATTTTTATCTTACCACTATTTAACTTTAACATGGTATTGAAACCAGTTCTTATATTGTAACACTGGGCAAATATGTGAATATTTATTTACGTTCATCGTTTGTATTTTGTGAATTGTTGCTCAAATTCTTAACCAAGCTGATGATTAAGTGAAACAATGTATCTTTATTTATTTCTCCTTAGTGCTCAATCTGATGACAACAGTAGTATTGCTATCTCAAGATGATCTAAGCCCAATTCGAGAGAACATCGCTCAAATTTTGGGAACTGTTCATGAATCGACAAGAAACCTTGAACTGTTGCTTGAGGAATTCAGGAACAATTCCCAGATTGACAGCTTACTCTTTGCGGTCGCAGCAAGTGCCTGGCTATTGAAAGATATTGATTATGACACCAAAAATGAACATCAGGTCTGTATTTAAAGTAGAAGTTCGGATTATGTGAGATTAGCCTAAGGTTTAAACTGTATACATAATTCTTGATGATCCGGATTAAATAGGACTGGACCAATCCAATTGACGAAAAAATCTGGATAATCAATAGAGACAACAACACCCAATTACAAACAAATATCAATGATATAGAGCTCATCACATGTTTCAGAGGATGATTTCTTCTGTAAAAAATAAGTCCTTAAATCTTAGTTATGTAAAAATTCCAAAATTTACAAAATGACGGATTTTACTGGAAATTAGTACCTACCTAGTAGTCTGAACTCTGCTTGCCCTAGTTAATTATACGACTGTGCGCTTTTGTCACATTGATCCAGATAACCTGGAGTCTGAATTAGTGGGAGTCTAGTGTACAATCTTTGAGAACTGTGGTTCTATTTCCATTTCAAACAAAGTCTTATGCCAAAAATGCCTGAATCCAATGGCCATGATTAAGAAGACAAAATTTGGACCACCTAAATTTTTACTAGCGTTAAATTCTGTGGAGAAAATTGAGCGTATCTCAGCATGCATTGTTTTAATGATGACGTTTCCTCTTTCCTTGTCAGCAATTCTGATTCCCATCTGAATTCACTTTTTTCAAATTGTGAACTGTATTAATTCTTTTCTCTTTATAACTACAGGAAAATGTGTTCGACAAGACCGACATGAATGCTTACTTTGAAGAGATGGTGTTGGCAAAATTAGCTGCATTTCACCTGTCAGAAGTGTGTTCCGACCCAGGGATAATCAACGTGCCTTTGCCGAAAATTATTTCCCAATGGCTGATAAATTACTCCAATCTCAGGCCCAATTTCGGTATTACGTTGCATGATATTTTCGACTTGGTTTTAAAAAAATTTTCTTTTGAGCCAGAATCATACTTATTACTACTTTTACAATCAAACCTTAAGTGTAATTCTGCCGCGAAACAAATTATGTCGTTGACTAAACTAAAATATGTAAGATTATTTTGTGATAAAGCCTGCAAGAGCCAATAATAAATAAATCAGTTTCATCAATGTGCCTTGAAAGTATTTTTGTTTTAAATAATTAAAGTATTGAAAAGTTCAGAAAGAAAACATTCAACCAGGTACTAACGACAACTTTTAGACACCCCAAGATCGATTAAGTTAGAAAAAGCTTTTTCACACGGAGAGAAAAAGAAAATGGAATCAAAACTCAATATGAATTATTGGAGGATTTTAATGAGAAAATGAGAGACACAAGTCAACAAATATTAAAATTTATTACTCCCTGAAGGAAATGGAAACTAGAAGTAAAAAGTTTTCCTGAAACTGTCAGGCAAAAATATCTATATACCTAGAAACAAGAGGGTAGTTTTTTGGAAAAATTTTGGTAACAATTATAAAGGAAGAAATTTCATTGCATCCCGGGCTCACATTTTAGAAAAAATCTTGGTTCATTTATTTATATGTGAAGAGTCTAGAAGCAAAATTTTAATTTTTATCACTGAGATGAAAGCCTTCGAACTTATTTATGTGAGCATAAAAATTAGGAATATTAAAACGGAGGATAAATCTAAAGTCTTAAAAGCTAAAATCACATTTCATTAAAATTGCAGAAAACATCACATGCTCCTGTATTAGTTCAAAACCTTCCCTGTCAAGTCAGAGATGCTAAAAACAGGAAAAGGAAAAGTAAACCGAGTCGATCACATACTCTTAGTGCATTCTTTTTTTAATTTCTTTTCATTTTCCTGAGATATGTACCGAAGATGCAAAAATCAAAAAATCATCTCTCTCTCTCTCAGTAATTTTTTTGGTTGAAGTTTGCAGCCGTTATAGTTACGTACATACTGCCTTGCCTCCACCGGGCATTCTTGCATAATTGCCATAAAAATTGTGAAGAAGACCCAACAAATTCTTGGGCAAAAATGAAATAAACCGGGAAAAAAACATAATGTAAGATTCCTGAGAGTTACTGGTAGAACTGTAGGTTAAGGCAATCACTCTTCATGAGATACCCAAAATTAATTATTCATTCATGCATGTGAGTTGTTGTAGCAACACAACAAATAAAAATGCCCAGCGAAAACAAGGCCTATAGCATGACTTTGTCATTTGCAATGATGATTCACAAAATTATGGCCTTATCACTTAACCTTTTTTGCTCTAATGAAAGTAGAATCCGAAGTATAAAAATAAAAAACCAAAAATTTTAAAACTGCAAACAAATAACATCAGAGTTTTACTCTATCACAGGGTTAAATTGACGACATTATGACTATTAAAATGTAGCTACTCGCTCAATCCATCCATAAGATCACAAAATACAATTTTAGTTACTGAAAAGGTTCTTATGGGATTTTGTAAAACGGAAATTTTAGTTCTACGCTGAACTCTAGAGAAGAAAAAAAAGAAAACGGGTAAAAAGAATCGAAGAGAATGACAGACTACCGGATGGTAATTGAATTGCCAAAAGAAGAAACAACTCTTGCAGATTTACTTTTTTTCTCCTGTTTTTGTTGTTGCTCCTTTTTTGGCATGAAATTCCACAGTTGTAAAGTTTCATCCACTCCTGCAGTTGCTGTGAGGGAAGAAAGCAGAAAAAGAAATAAAAAAATAAATCTTACTTGAATATTTTTTACCTTGAAAAATGTTTTTAAAAATGTAAAAATGGTGTCTCAAAGCAATACAACACTCGAAATTGGGAATTTCTGCAGGAGTGCACATAATTCTGAATCACACGAAACATTTTTGCATGCAATTGTGGAAGCCTTTTCTTTTAATTTAAATTGTGGAAGCCTTTTCTTTTAATTTATCTTCCTTCACTTCGAATCTTATATTTTATTATGTACCAAAATATTGTGGAAGGGTTTTTCACCAAAATATTCGAAACATTGAGAGCACTTTCCACATTTTATTATCAATCACCCAACCCCCAACAACTCGCCAATATACCACAAGGTAATTCCAGCGCTTGTGTGGCTTGTATCAGTGTAAAAGTCGGCTTTTTGTATCGTTTCTCTCTTGTTTAATTATTGATTATTATTGTCTCTTATTATTGTCCTAGAAGGTCGCAATAAAGAAAATAAAAAAAAAAAATATAATGAGAATGTGACGCCTCGGTCCATCACCCGTTTGTGGTTGAATAATAAAAATGAATGTTTATCATTGCACAACGCAAATGCTCTTCATGATCATTATGTTTACATCCCATTAAAAGTGCTCAAAAGCGAACACTCCCACCTACATTCTAAATAATGGCACATATAAGGCAATAATAGCACATATATAATGGCATAATGAAGACAGTAATGGCAAAAATTTCTCAAGTTCTTTCGTGTGATTCAACAAAGCTTCCGAAAACTACCTACGGAGACATGGTTTGATGAAGGCCAGCAAGAATTTTTTCTTTCTCTATCATATGCCTCCTACTTTAAAAGGATTCTCAACAAAATATTTTAAAGAGCTGGTGTATTTGTATTTGCATGCAAAACGAAAGAACACCTATTACCAAGCTGTGTGCAGTCAGGATTCCACTTCAAATAAAGCACCGATCCGACATGGCCCCTCATTCGATCAACGACCCTATCGAAAGAAGAGAGAACATTGATTTGTGTATGTCCCCACTCAGCGTCCAAGTCGTCTGAAATGTGTTCAATACCTTCAATTTATAACTTGTAAATCGATCGATAAACCAATGTACTTAGTATAAATGGTTTTTCTTGAATTAAGGGTAGGGCACAGCGAAAAAGTTGTTCAATGAAAAACTAGCTGCTTATCAACAAATGATGCTAGTAGATCTCTTATGACAGCTTTTGTTACTTTTCCTTCTTTTTCTGTTCTTTAATATGTATTATGGTTGATTATTTTTGTTACCAAAAACAGTGTATCAGTAATTAGGTTTAAGGATCAGGAAGAAACAAGAAGCAAAATTCCATCTATGCAGGGTCAAAATCGTGAGGCCCCTAAAATTCTTTTTAAAAAAATATTTTCTATTTTCACCCCTCATAGCACGTTTTGAGGCCTGGGGAATTTATTTTTTCTCAAATTTTAAAAATAAGGGACACCATAGTAATCGTGCAAAAAGTTTGAGAGATGAAGAGGGAGAGCTAAAATCGCATTTTTGCCTGCTTGAAACCTTCTTTTCAATATTTTGTTTCCGTCCCCTTTAAAGTAGGTACAAGACCTATACCTGTAGTTTGGATCAAATGACTGGTGACTAGCTCGCCCGTTAATTTGTTAAACGTCATATTGAACAGAAAGTGATGGTCACCCTGTTTGGTGCCTGGATTGCTTTTTGCTACCAACTTCAGTCTTGAGATGTCCCACAAATTCATGCTGCCGGTCAGGGAGCCAACACAGAGTAGCCCTGATTTCCATGGATGCCATGCCATTGCCTGTGCACAAAACAGGAAAATTTCACTTTATTGCTCATTGATGACTAGGTGCAAAAAACGCGCACCTCAATTGCTATGTTTAAAAATTTCCCATCTTCTTTTATCTTCGTCAAGGAATGCTTATCATGCGAAGAAGCGTGAAAAGCAAAGAAAATTCATTGAGAGTTTCAATATAATAGATAATTGGATTGTCATTTGGAAGTATTAAGTTAGGGCCATTGCTTTTTTTTTTGGGAGGGGGAGGGAGCTAGAATAGTGGGTAACTCCTTTTAATAAGGGCATACTACGAAACTTTAAGCTTGACAGTTTGATTAGCAAGAAATTGATCAAAGAGGTGCAGGACTTTTGGACCACCCAGTAGAATCAGTTGAAAGAAATGGTTTCTCACCCTGATGGGATTTTTGAGTGACACCTTTAGCAAGTATTCGCATTCACAAATTACTTTAGATTCGGTTGAAAATACAGCGAAGGTTCCATCCATGCTAGAAGATGCCAGATACCTCCCATCACAACTAATTGTTAGAGTCACAATCTGTTTCGAATGAGGGGTGAAGATGTGTTCCCAAATCAGCCTCGATGAATACACTTTTATAGCACCATTGGTACAGCCTCTGAAATGGGAAACAAAGAATTATAACTTGCATCCAATACTCAAGCGCTTCTAGAATGAGGCTTACATTTATTGCTTCATCAGTATTCCTCTTAGTGTGTACCTCAGCAAATTTTTACTCTTCCACATTGAAAAAATTCAGATAGCTGATATTGCTGATTTTCTTGACACTGAACTATTTGCTAACGATATGAGTTCTTTCTCTCTTTATTTAACTTTCAAAGAAATGGAATCTTTGTATGATGTGACATAAAACCTATGATTGAAAAATGTTTCCAAATTCCTTTATCATTTTCCATTAAAGTATTGGAGGCCAAATCCTGAATCCTGACAATTAGATTTAAAACCAAAGGCATGTCTCAGTTTGAATAGGACTACGCCAGAATAACATGAAATTCAGTGTCCGCTTTCAATAGTTTTTTGTATGTTTCTTATGACCTCCTGAGCCCGACGAAATTTTAAAATCAAACTTTCTGTCTGCCATTGTCAAGAAAAGCAAAGCTAAAAATTCAATTTTTCGGTTTTCTTACATGCGTTTCCTGATTGAGATGTAGAGCCGATACTATAAGTGTGTGAATGCTGCACTACCTGCCGTCATCTCTCAGAGGAATTTGATTTTTTTTGTCCAATTCATCTTACCCCCCCCCCCCTTCAGAGAAAAAAAAGCTCTCCTTGATCACCATTAGGTAATGCAACATCTCTGCTAGATATTCACGGAAAAATTCACTTTTCAGCCCTACTTCTCTCTAGACTGGCACAACAAAGTTTGATTTTAACCGCTTATGAAGCTCAGAATGACAGTACAGAACATTGTATAAAGCGATATCAAAATTATTGTGATGCTAAATTTCTAGGTATTCTGTGCGTAGTCCTTTTGAGAAATAATTATGAGCAGAGCTCATTTCTAAAAATTAAATGCAGCGCAATGATTATGCTTCGTCTTTTGCAAACCAATTCATATATTTTCTAATTTCATGTACCATTGATAAATAATAATTGTACGTCAATTCAAGTCATTAGCATCTGTAAGGCAGGGGAAATGGTGAGGATACTCACGTAAATATAAGATCTTTAGTTGGATGCCACTCAATAGCAGTTACGGAGCAATTTCTTAAAAAGCAGGCTGCCATATTGCAGCTGACAATTTTCTTTTGTTTTAAATCCCACACCTAAAACAATAATGTACATAAATATGAATAACATTAATTTGAAATTTTCCATTTTTCATACCCAAGTCTGTTTTTATGCGCATTAGAATGCTAAGCCTAGCACCTGAAAGGCTTGAAGGTCTACAATTTTTACTAAGTCCTTTTTTAGGCAACTTTTTTAACAACAATCTTAAAGTTTGTATGATTTCAAGTGCTTATTAAACTCAATGGAAAGATAGGTTTGATGAATCTTGACTTTTCTCAATTTCCTTGTCTCTTTTCTCCTCATTACCTTTATTTAAATATTTTGGCGTATGAACCTGAGACTAAGATAGCGCTGCATAAGACTTGAGGGCCCAACTAACTTTCTGCCCTCCGTTTTAGAATTTTTTCAATTATAAAATGAAATTACCTAGCCCGTCTTCCATCATGTTACCTCAATGCCTCCATGACAAATATGTTCAAACTTATGAGAATGCAACGTTTTCAGTGCCCCTATTTAGGGGTTTTCTTTGACGAATTTCCATTGTGAAATTGGACGACATCTTACACTACGGAACTACTGTTTCTGGCTCATTTTAGTACTTGACAATATTTGTGCCATTTTATTTCCCTCGAAGATACGTAGGTGCCTGGTGCTTTCATGGCCGAGCCATTGAGACTAGGCGGTCTCTTATGGCAAATCGTGGTTCACTTAAGTAAAAAAGGGTTCATTTTACAGCACAACGGTTGTGTAGCCTCAAATGTATATCAGGCAAAGAGAATAAAAAAGTAGAATAGCATTTTTATGCACCAATGTGTGTTTGTGTGTACTTGCTTTCATAGTGCTCTAGGTTGCTTGGCGACACTTAAACACCCCTAAAATCTATCAAGGAAGAGATTTTCCGTAAGGTGGTATCTCTTCACCTCCTTTTAGATGCCATCGATCCACCTTTCAGCTAAATACCCTCTAAAACTATGCTTTGCTGAGTCGCTCTAATGGACGTCTTTTCTGTCTTATGAATGCTGACCTAGCGCCCTCACTTATGATATTATTCAATCAACTTCTGGGTTGTATACTCCACATCATTGTAAGAAAGGTATATTTAAACAATGCATGATGAAATAATTTGTCAAACCTTCAGGCGTCCGAATTTCTCTCCAATGGCGAGGCGAGTGCCGTCTGGACTCCATTTAACAGCCATGCCAGGGTGCTCCAATTCAATTTTTATTGTACCATGTGTTTTGGGATAGTATAGGTAGACAGTACGATTGAGGGAAGCTGTTACATAGTCTGAAGAGCTCCAATCTATTAGATTCAAATCTGAGGCAATGGAGAGGGTAAAAATTAACACTTTGAACTGGCAAAATCAAATCAAATTTATAAAACCTTGAATTCTATTTGTAGTGAACTCTCACAGGACTTGCTTTTCCATTGTCTAATCATCAAGGTTTTTTATCACGTGAATGGCCTTTTGAATGAAAACAATAATCAACTCTTTTACAATGTAACACTTTTTGATATTCCTGTTAACCGTTGTACTACCTTGTTATATTTTTTTTCTCACTATTGTTCTTTTAGTGTAAAAAAATAAAAAAATAAGATGTGCATCTTACTCTTGCTTCAAAGGGATTTTTGTACAAATCGACTAAATAAAATGAAAAGAAATAAAACATTAGAATTATCCTATTTATTTCTCTACCTACCTAATGCTGAGATTTTGAAGACCAAGAGAAGGACTTGATGAGCAGCAAAATGTTAAATTTGTGAAAATACAGAAGTGTTTGGTATGATGCTTTTTAATGATCTTTAAACTGCTTCATTATTATTTTTCTTCTTGTTCATGACGCTTCCATTTCGATAACTTCTTGAGAGGAAACATGATGATGTATAAAATTCTGTAAGAATGACAGAAAAGTCTAGTATATGTTGGGTAGGCATGAATTTCATTTTCTATTTTTCAGAAAAATGCTTGAATTGAGAAACAATGCACCTCTTCTTGCTCTGAGGCCTGTAAATTTATACTTTCCAGAAAATTCAGCAGTAAATACTCACAAAAGTGTTCCTTCAAATGGGGAAGATCAAGGATTGCAATAGACGATCTGATGGAAGGTTTTGAGCGTGGAAATGAGGGCCAGATTTCTTCGCGCCCCTTTTTTTTCTGGTCCTTGGGTTTGAAAATGGGAAGAATACGAGCATCGTGCATTTCAAGTGCTTCACTAAGAATTGTGCGATAATTCTCCATGTTCAGTTCTTCTGTTTGCTGAAACAAATGTAAAAGTTTAAGATTTAATAACTCATTTGACTCTCCCCTTCCTTGCCCACCTTAAGTGTGTGTAAATGGGAATCTCAAATAAAATGCATTATAGTTTGATGATGCAAACATTACTTTGCGCAATCCCTACATTGGGACAGTTTGTAGCAGTATATGCATATGTGTATTTGTGTACATCGACAGTGACATTCTCAAAGCATGTGGGTATCTTGCTTGAGGTGTCTAAAAATATCCACTATTAGTTTATTTTCTTTTGAAGGATAACAAACAATATCATTCCTTGAAAAGTGACCCTACGGATATTATACCAAACTTTTTGAGGTGATCCTATAGGTGGATTGCATTTTGCAGAAAGGAACCACTAGCATTGCAATGTTGCTAAGATTGTGCAACTTCTTTTGTCTTGGAGGAAAAACCCGATTATCCCTTAATAGTTTCTATTTTACTCGCTAAAAACTGTAAATTTAAGACAAAAATTACCATCTAAATTTCATAGTTTTTCACAATTTCCGCAATTTTATTGCAAAGGATGAAGTTGAACAATCTTAACATCATTGCAATGCTAGTGGTTCCTTTTTGCAAAATGCGATCCAGGTCATCCTGGGCCAACATCTGGCTGGCTTTAGACGAAAACCGCAGGGATTTGACACTGCCATTTTTTAAAGTTGTAACTTCAAGTATGCATAACTTTCGCAGAAAAGCAGTTCCAGAGCTCGTACTTATGTAAAAAAAACGCAGAAAATTACGATCTATCGACTTATGCAGAAAAACAGGGATTTGAGTCCACTGTTGCTACATTTTGGCCATTTTTTAAATTTCATAATTATCAAAAATCATGTTAAGTAACCCTCTTTGCTTCGCACTTTGAATAAGAGAAAGTCACGGAATTTTTTAAGAATTGACATTAAGGAGTTTTTCATTTGAAGAATAAAGTATGACATGAAGTCTGCAACATCGCAAACTGAGATGAGTAGTTTCGGAGTTTCAACATTAATATGTATTTTGTATGTATACACGCATTTTCTTACTTGATACAAAATGCTGGATATCTCGGGTAGTTCAGGTTCCTTGTTTGCCTGTTTCAAATGATAATATGAAAGATCAGTATTCATATTTCCTCGGTGTGGAATGAATCTATCCGAGTTTCTCGTTTTATGGAGATGAGAAAGGACCTGCGGCCAGTTATCCTGAAAATAGAGCATAGGTAGTTTTGTCTGTGAGTTTAAATTAACGTTATTTTAGCAGGCAGGGATGAAAATAAGGGGGAAAAAGACTAGCAAGTTCCTACTCTAAGGCAGTGGGCATGCATCAATTTGCTGATAATGTGACTGACGAGACTATTATTCCTGCAAATCTTCTCATTCTAAGAGAAAACCAGAGATTATTTATCCATAATTTTTATGGATTCTTTGCCTTATTGAAGTTATGTTTTGAACAATTTACACAATTTACAACAGCACAGTGAATGTTGACATCAAACACTACAATTAAAAAAGCTACTAAGTTGATATCTTCATTTCCTGAATAGCTTGGAATCATCCTCACATTCTTTAATTCTGTTCTGTAATGTTTCTTCAGGTGATTTTGATCGTAAAAATTAAAGGGAAAAAAAACCTTTCTCACTCACCCTGTTTCTCTTCATTTTTCTGACGTATGTTTACCATTCAACAACTTCTCTACACCTCATATATGCAATATTTTACTCTAACTCACAAGAGACTTGGATGGAGATACCATTCGCGAGCAAATGCTAATTGTTACAAATACTTAACTAAAAAGTAAAATTTATGAATTAAAATTAGGATTAAACACTGAAAAGAGCCTGAGCTCTAACCACCAGTTTGAGCTGATATTTTTCTGGGGACTGATTATCAAGATTGTTTCAGCAGGCATCACCTCTTTGTTCTCTTATCAGTTATCTAGCTATCTGGAATCTCTCCAGATTCCATGACCGTCCTCCTTCCTCCTTCTTGCAATCTGAATTTGAATGTTTATTGACACCTCTCCTTGCCGTCTGATGATGTGATCAATTCATTGTTTGCCTCCTAAAATCTCTCTGAGGAGCCTGCAATAAGAGGAATCTGCAACTTTTCATACATCACTTTGACTTTTGGCCACCACAGAAGCAGTAATTTTGAGCTATAGTTTCTTGATATATAAGTATAATTCCACTTGATTTGACCTCAGATTTTTTTTTACCTCTATTCCATTTATTTGATTAGTAATTCACAAAGAGAAGAGTCATAGTGCCAAAAAACTGAGAAATAAGGCGTCAAAAAAAGGAGCTTTGTAAGAAAATTTTGCCTCAAATAATACGCCCAAAAATTTCAAAGCGAGATGAAATTAGGATGATTTAAAGTAAAAAGAGCAGAAAATTGTGGTTTTGAAAAAAAAAAAATAAAAAAAAGGTGTTTACTTAAATTTTCAACACGTATTGTTAAAGTCTTATTAATTTTACATTAAATTGCAACTTTTCGCACTCCGAGAAAAATAAAACAATCCTATAGAAAACTTAAATTCCGATTTTTGACCCAACTTGATAAAAAATGTTCTCCTGCAAAATTTGCATCTATACATTAGGGACCCATTTCCTGTGGAAGACATCCCTGAGCATTGACTGTCAATTCTGGACTTAGCAAAACCTATACAAATTGTTAAGATGAGTAAAATTAATGTGAGATTCATGTTTTAGAAAGATAAAAGGGTTTCGAAAAAAATTGGCATCAAAATTTTGATAAACTCTAGGAAACTTGTAAATTGAAGAAAACACAAAATATGTACATGCACTGCAAAATATCGACTTACCTTGAAACTTGTCATGAGGAGTGTTCTATTTTGTTTCCCTGGTTCATCATTTAGAGTAATTTGGTCCCAGCGGTCTGCAGCGAAAGGCAGATTATTAAATTGATCTTTTTGATTAATTATAAAGACATCCATACCTAATCACTTTAATAATATGTACTAATAAAATGCATAATCACATTATCACTTAAACAAAATCCATGAAAATGGAAAATCACAATACACCCCCTACATTGAACTCAATCTAGCATTGGAAATGACGCATTCTTCAAGCTGTAGAACGGACAACCATAGAGAAAATACTGTATTTTCTCTATGACGGACAACGGAATAGAGAAGTGGAACAATTTAAATCAATTTACTTTTGTTTGATCGATATTTCATGTCAGATCAATTTGGAAAATTTTGATCGTCCGATAAATTGATGCTCCCTCATTTTTAAAATCTTGCAAAGCTAATACATTTTTTCAGAGAAATTTTTGAAAGTTCAAAGTAGGAAAAGGCACAATCGGAATTCAAAGCGTGTCAATTCATACATGGTGTTCCACGGTTTTGTTGAACCGTTAAACTGCTAGGGCAGCTGAATCTAGGACATTTTGGCCCAAAAAGAGCGATATGAAGTGGATTTTTATAATCATAAATAGTCAGCCTTCAATTTCAACTGATACATCTGATCGTACACTAAGGTTTGTTTTGTTGCTTTAGTCTTGTTTTCGGGCTTCTTTATTGTCGTCCAGCGCTCTATCGCCCGCTTATAATAACTTTTTGCTTTCCAAGGCTCATGTCAAAATAGAGATATACTTACTCGTCAGAAGAGCAAGGAGTGTGGGATGAAAAAAAAATGATGAATGTGAGTTTGAAGGCGATTTTACTGTAGTTCAGTTCCAAGGGACTACAATGGTATCAATACAGTACTCTTAAAAGGGCGAAATAATATGCACCTGTGATAAAGTGAGGACAAGAGCAGAGTATATCCTGAACCGCACTGAACACGGTAAATTGAATGAGTAATTTGGGGACCCTTGCTTTTGAAAACATCCATGCATTAGCTGCTACCTTGAAGTATCAAGGTAGCCGCAAGGTAGACCATTAGAAGTATCTAATGGTCTACTCACACGAGCGTAAGCATTTCACATCAGAATCAAGCTTAAAAATTTATGGCTGTAAATTGCAGGGTAATATTGAGGATTAGTCAGAAAACCTCTAGTGTTTTTATGCGGTTTCAAAAACCTAATGATTCTCTCATTTTTAGAGTTGGTCAGTTCAACTGTCAACGTTTTCTAACACTAATTTCTATAAATCTGCTTCATTTTTCTTGAATAGCAATTATTTGCCTTGCTCTAAATTTCTAGGAAGATAGAGATTCTTTATTCTACTTGCCTAACTCACTAATAAAGAAGGCAAAAACTGGTGGAAATTGCTTCCAAGATTTTTTCTATAAAACTATGCAATGATTATTCCTGGAAAAATGAAGTGAATACAGAGGTTCTGAAACTCTGAAGTTTCTACGGCTACCAAACTGCAGGTTACTTTTGGTTCCAGTTTAAGGTACAGTAATCATAAAATTTTATGACTGCAAAAGACAAAGTAATACAAAATAAAATTATACAGCACGCATAACTTCATTAATTATAAAAAGACATTATAAAATTATATTCTCATTATGTAAGTGAATACAATATATTTATACATACATCAATAGGACATCTCACAGCTTTTTTATCAAAATTCAAGGAGGCAGACCGTTAGAGGTATGAGGCCAGGTCCAAGAAATTGAACAACCATTTTAGGAGAAGGTATTATGTGCACAGGCATTGCTTCGATGGACCATCTTCATGATGGATCTCTGAGGTATATAAATTTTTGGGAGGGAGAAATTAAATAATAATTTGACTCAGATAAGTCAAACTATCTGATATTTTAAACTACGAGGATGGATCTTGAAATAAATTTACCTATTTCTTTTCTCCAGAACTATCAATTGTAGGGTAAAAATCAGATTAGCAGTAAAACGTACATACTTTCAGCTTTCTTACATGCTAAGGGTTTTTAAATTTGGTCCAAGTTGTCTTTCTCAAATTTATTAATGAATCTAATTTACTTTTCCTGAGACTTAGATTTATTTTTTATGTGAAGGTCTGCAGCGCATGGAAAGAGGGCGTATTTGCAGAAGAGGTGAGAGTAAAAAATCTATAATTTCTTTGGAATTTGTGGACCAGCTTTCGAAAAATAAAACTTGTCTGAAAGCTATGAGCGTGTATGTTTTAACAGTGGTTTGGGGTTTTTTCGTTACAGTAATGGTTCTCGAGAAAAAAAGAGGTGAATTTTCTTTGAAATCCATCCTAGTAAAAACACTAACAAAAAAAAATCTAAGAGAGCTCTCTACAACTGAAGAGGCTACTATTGGAGTTGATGCTTATTTAATGAAAATGTATGCTTGCTTGCATAGGAATATGTTTGAAAAGTCACGTCTGCAGAAAATCAAAGCATTAAAGAGAAGTTTCTCTCTAGCACTAAGATAGTTTATGATTTTATGAAGCACATACATACCACCGTAATTCGCTTTTTAGAAAGATGAGAACAACAATAGCACAGATCTTGGATAATATTTGGTAATTGGAAAAATATATATATATTAAAATTCACTTAATTCTTTTGAATTAAACTTAAAAAAATGAGTAAGGCTTGGAAATTAATGTGTAAGCAAAAAAAAAAAAAATTACTTACACAAACATGTTATGCTTCATAAATTGCCACTGAAGTAGGTGCTAAAATCACAGATAGTATCATACCTAAAGATAAATAAAATAATACATATATTCAAAATGACGTCTCTTGCATTTTAAAACACAGGAATCAATTTCCGCTCTTTATCTTTCAGATCGTCATCTAAAGTGAGAAGAACCTGCGGAAAATAACACACACAAGTGTTAGTATGGTTGAGAAACAACATATGTACCATTAGTTTCCCTATAGATATATGTGTTTAAACGGATGAGCCACAAATCGTGGTTCCAAATTGCAAAATGCAGTAAAATTAAATGCCAAAAAAAAAGGAAGATGACATCGGTCTTGCTTGATAAAGACTCAGGCTAAAATCAAGTGGTGGCAAACAAATAATTTTGAAGCTTGTCATTCTTCCGATTGTGGCACAATAAAATATTTCAACGCATTACCTTGTCTTGAAAAAAAAAAAAAAAAAAAACCTATCTTATTGTATAATCCCCACCCTCTAACGCTCGGTGGCAAGCAAAAAAATGGGAATATTATGCACTGTTGTACAATTATTACAATTCTTAAGTCAAACGAAATTCGGGTGACTTTTGATGTAAATTCTGGCAAAGGTCAAAATATTTATAATGATCAAAATTAATATTTTCTTTATATTGTTTTTTGATAGTTTTACACCTTGCCTTCAAGTATTACTAATGCTCCAATGGACCACTAGACAAGGTACAAACTTAAGCATTCTGATACATGGTTCTTAACCAGAATTTCATGTAGAATATGATTTGCGCAACGAAAATTCCTGAAACCAACTCCTAATGGAGATATTAACATTTTTATTTCACATTGGTTACGAGGAATTTGAACTGCCCGCTCACAAGAAACTCAAAGCTCTACGTGAGTCAAACCGTGCACTACAACGGTTTCAGCAATCTTCTCAATCGAGCAATGTTCATTTCCCACCATTTGTTGTTCAAACTATAAGCGATTTGCTATAGCTGAGCCAAAGCGTCAAAATTGAGGTTGCCAGATTTTAATATAGCAGAGACTGTCATGATAACGTTTAGCGCGCGATGTGAATCACGTAGAGCGTTGAGTTTTCTGAATTTACGCATCAAGAATCATTAAATATCTTCGTAAGGAGTTAATTTCGGTAATTTTCGTTGTGCGCGCCTTGTTTTACGTGAAATTTTGTTTAAGAAACATGTATCAGAATGTTGAAATTCGTACCCTGTCTAGTGGTCCATTGTTGATACAAGATTGAAACAGCAAATTGAATGATCTTAATTTACTTGACCAAAATGGTAATCTAAACACAGTTCTGCAGCTGGCGTAATTAATCCATTTTTAAAAAACGGTAAAATATCAACATTTTATGGTAAAGCCAGTGACAAAAATCTGATGATTAATAAAACAAAAAAAGATGTTAGGAAAATGCTCATCAATAGAATCTCGTGTGGTAAAGTTGAGCCCTGGTATAATTACTAAAAAATTTGCTGCGTTTGAAAAATTGAGGGAATAATTGAACAAATTCAGTGATTTTAAAGAAGTAAAAGTAAGATTTTCTCTCCAAGATATAGGAAAGACACACTTTTTGGTCTGTAGATAGGAAACCTTACATAGTTCAAGAAACTAGGAGAAAAGTGACTCCTTGCCTCAGTCACTAATCTGCCAAAAACTAATACCAAAAGGCAGTATTATGTTGCACAGTGGGTTTTACTCACCATGAATGAGAAAAACATGCTACCAGCAGATATCAGATGCCAGATGTCATGATTGTCGTAAAATTTCAGCAACATACAAGATTTATTGTAGGTTCTAGATTCAGCAGGTGTTAACTGAGTGACAAAAATAGAATGCAATAAATTAGTTAGATCTCCATTTAATTCAATAATCTTACCTTCCAGTGACAGGGGGCCATTGAAGTGTTGCATACGCCATTTTGGCCAAATTTTTGACCCCTTCCCTCCCTCCCTGTAATCCTCCCATAAGCAAATCTTATTAGATTAATGACATCTAAAGAGCAGTAACATGATTCTGAATCCATACTCCCTTACACGCGAGGTAAAAATACGAGATTTTTGGCGAACATGCATGCGTAAAAAAGGGAGCAATATTTGATGTTTACCTACTTGGTAACTTAGCACCAACTACTTGGTGCTTGGTGCCTTATGTACTTGGTATTGCTTGTTACTTGGTAATCATTTTAATTTTTGAGCGCACTTTTTCCATTATACCTTTTTGATTCATATTCTTTCTTGTGACAAAAGGAAGAATAATAATATAATTTTACTCCATTTTTATCCTGATGGGATTTATAAAGGATTGGCGGTGTTGACAAGTATAACTTCATACATATTAACAATCATATATTTTTTTATGATGATGGGAGGAGGATAATTCGGGCTGGAACTTGTGACTCATAAATATTTATAACAATTTCTCTTTTTTTTCAACATGAACTCTAGTACTTATAGTAAGCTGTGCTGACTCTGATAGTGTGATCACAGAAATCAGAACACAGCCGAAAAATATCTTCCTACATGCTGAAGGAGATTTATCTTTACTGACTTGAAAGAATCCTACTTCAAACGAGAGTTAAAAGTTGGAAGTTGTTTTCAAGGCACGAAAATAACAAGTCAATAACAAGAATAAATCTTTGGTCCTTACCTGCCAGTTCGTTGATCTGCTGGTAAAAAAGTATCCAGAGGCACCCCAAAAAATGACAGCAAAAATTATGTACAGGGAGGGTTGTAGGAGAATCCTTTCACCAGATAGTAGCTGTCAGTAGAAAAAAGGGACATTTTCAGATTAGGTGAGTATTTTTTAATGTTCTCTTTATGCAGTGTGTTGATGTGGTTTCAAGGGCCTCCTCACGATTGAGAGTACGTATGTAATGAGATGAGAAATCAAATTTTTAGGAGTCAAACTTTAAGGCCCGATACTTCTTTTACATTTTAGTCGAATAGGTATGTCTCTCTCATACATCTCCTTACATTTCTTCAAGTATAAAAGTTGGATTGACACTCATTCAAATTAGAACTAACTATATGAATCAGTGAGCAATGCAGCTCGTGATCAGATTTTGTTTTACAGAACTCTCCGATTGGAATTCTGAACAGATAATTTTCTTTTTTACTCTTTACTTATTGTTGTGACCAAGTCGTATCAAGCTTGAACCGAGAGGGATAGGTTTGCAATTTTATTTCTTCATGAGACTCAATTAATAGGACAACGTTTAATGAATTTTTTCACATTTTGTTCAATGTTGAATTTTTGACGGGAGGAAATTTACAACAAGGTTAAATTTAAAACTACTCCCAAATTATTTTCTCCAAAAATGCGACTCTGTGCTTTTTTTGTTAAACAAGGTCCATTTTATCCATGGTCTATCAAGATTTGAATCGGGATGCACTAATGAGGAGGAAACTTCAAAGGATATTATCTTCATTAACTTACTTTCATGGTGATGTAAAAAGTTAAATATAAAATTAAATTTGCCATGAATATGATCAACAAATACGTTGCAAAATTGCTTCGGTTGGACATCCAGAGATGCACAGCTAGCCCCCAATTACAGGCGTTTCCTGGAAAAAGAAAATTCAAACGTAAAAGGCAGTTAATTATGGAGAAAAATCACAAACAGGTGATAAATAAATATGTATTCTTTCCAAGAGATTCATTATCTTCCTGATATTGCTGAAGCTAAGAAAAAGACAGAGTCAGGCTTTACCTCTACTGAAGTTATGTTTGCTTTAATACTTTCAGCCTGCGTCATTTTCAGTTCAATTTGTTCTGTCAAAAGTTAATTATGATAAATTTTCAGATTAGTCTTGAAAGAGCCGTATGCAAAAACGACATTTTTCGCCCCCCCCACTAAAACGTATTCAAACTTCGTCTATCAGTTACTAATACTGGAGCGCTTCTTTCCCCAAATTTTCAGACCCCCAAAAAAATTTGGGGAGGCGCTAGGGGGGGTGAAATTCAAAACCTGTGAACCTCGATATCTTGCGAACGAAACAAGATATTGAGGCCCGGTTTGGACGAAAAATCGTCTAAAATTGCATACTTTAAGATTCTAAAGGTCAAAATCCCAAAATTAAATTTTTAACTTAACTTATGTGCTTTTTTCAGTTTTTGAGGAAAAACAATTTCTTTTAAACAGATTAAACTGAAATTTCACATTTTTTTATTTGAACCAAAACCAGTTTTTTTAAATTGTTCGTCTTTTTCCGCATCCAACGAGTGGTCGTATAAGCTGGGGAACCGAACGGTTCCGGAGTTATGATCGATTGAAGTTTCCGCTCAACGCGCGCCGACCGATTTTCGCGCGCAAAAAAGTCGGATTTGACTGTTATTAAATCAGATTCAATGTTCAAACTGAGCAAAATGCATCATAAGGGACTCTTGAGGGTCGCTGAGTCCAGAAATCACAGATACTTCCAAAAAATTCACGTTTTTAAAATTACAGCTCCGTAGCGCTATTTTAGAGGCCCACTGTGCGCCGACCGGCCGCTCAGTGGTCCTGTACGGAGCTGTAATTTTAAAAACGTGAATTTTTTGGAAGTATCTGTGATTTCTGGACTCAGCGACCCTCAAGAGTCCCTTATAATGCATTTTGCTCAGTTTGAACATTAAATCTGATTTAATAACAGTCAAATCCGACTTTTTTGCGCGCGAAAATCGGTCGGCGCGCGTTGAGCGGAAACTTCAATCGATCATAACTCCGGAACCGTTCGGTTCCCCAGCTTATACGACCACTCGTTGGATGCGGAAAAAGACGAACAATTTAAAAAACTGGTTTCGGTTCAAATAAAAAAATGTGAAATTTCAGTTTAATCTGTTTAAAAGAAATTGTTTTTCCTCAAAAACTGAAAAAAAGCACATAAGTTAAGTTAAAAATTTAATTTTGGGATTTTGACCTTTAGAATCTTAAAGTATGCAATTTTAGACGATTTTTCGTCCAAACCGGGCCTCAATATCTTGTTTCGTTCGCAAGATATCGAGGTTCACAGGTTTTGACTTTCACCCCCCCTAGCGCCTCCCCAAAATTTTTTGGGGGTCTGAAAATTTGGGGAAAGAAGCGCTCCAGTATTAGTAACTGATAGACGAAGTTTGAATAAGTTTTAGTGGGGGGGCGAAAAATGTCGTTTTTGCATACGGCTCTTTAAAAAAAATGACCAAGTTGTGCGTCATATGCAAAATACGAACGACAAGAGAATTAGATTTACTTCACTTTGCTTTTACATTAATGTTGGAGACTCCTCACCTGATCAATGGAGGACATCATCGGATTCTTTTTTGACAAATTCTTTCTCGCTCTCTACAATAATGCAGGAAAAATTTTAAATAACGCTATCTCAGTGATTTGAGTGTATGTTATGTACTAACCTAAAATTAGAAGAACCATACGATTGGGATACATGGGTTTACAGTGCCTCAGTCCAGCTCGGAGATTCGTGAAGAATTCGATGATCGTTCTCTTGAAAGAATGAAATCCTAGAAAACAAATAAAAAGCTGTATGGACGATTTCAATTTTGGTGAAATAGGAACTATGCAATGGATTGAACTTTCTACAGGAAAAAAAGGCCAATTTCCAAAAATCAAAAACTCGGAGAAAGATAAAAAACTGTACTTTTTTCTCAATTCTTTGTACTTAGGATAAAAAAAAAATGGACAAATGATTAATAGATGGTTAAAACATGGTTTAACCCTCTTTTGTTTCTTTTAACATTTGGAAGTATTTTACATTATTAGGGATGCTGAAATTTCTAACTGTTCCTGTTACTAAGAAAAATTAAAAGGAAACAAGTAAGAAATTCAAGAGGGATTTTGGTAAAATGGATGCAATCCGATGCAATGCTACTGCGATCTATGAATTATGAGAATCTATTCGAACATCAATTTGAAAAATTTGAGGGTTCAGCTGCTTTTCAATTCAATGGTTAAATCATTAATTTCGACGACTGTTTTGTCGACATGTTTTTAAGTATTGTAATGACACAATTTGGCAGTGCCGCCATGCTTGAGTGGACCTTCCGCAGTCCCATGGGAAGAGCTCATACCTGATTCAATGGCTAGTTCGTCAATCACTATTTTGTATTGAATCAAAATAGTTCGTCCCAAAGCTGGAAAACGGAGGTTTAATACCTTTAAAATGAAGTGATGAAATTTGGTTAAAATTGGTGCACTTTTATTTTTAAGGTCTTGCACATCTTAGCTACTCCTGTTATCATGAAATCAGCCAATTAAAAAACTAACAAAGAATGACAAACGACTCGGTGGAAAAATTTTAAAAACTAGACTAGAGTCAAAACAGAACTCTCAAATAAATAACAAGGTAAGTAATCGAGCTGAAATTTAAAGAAAAATTACGGACTATTTTACTTTGGCTAACCTAGTTTCCATCGACCCATGTAGTAGATTTGAAGTGATAGAAAAAAACATGTAATGATGTGGAGTGCAGTGAAAACAACGTAGAATATGAAGGAGCCATTGAGAATACCGCACATTCCGATGAAAATCACACAAGCAAGGACTAGATAAGTGGTGTATGCACTCGCATTGATATCAGAATGTCGATTTTGGTAGATTTTTAGCATGGATAACATGGCAATAATATACATGAAACTTGTATCTGAAACAAAAAAATGATAACATTTGCAGGCCATTTTGGAATTGCAAGAACAGATACAAAACTACTTATCATAAAGCAGCCATCATCATCAACACAATATATAATTCTGTAGGCCCGATCCTTCGGGTAAAAATTCAGCAGGGACCGCCAGGCCAATCAGGGCGCGGATGGTGCTGGCTTGACTACCCCGGTCCCCCGAAAATAGAGGGATCGCGCAGCGGGTCCCCGGTCCCGCGCCTCTTGCACCTTTTGAAAGATCGGTTAACCTGTTTGTCCCGCGGAGAGATGCGCGGTTTTTTTTTTGGCCAGCTGATGAATCGATGAATGATAGGTACAGCTGAGCCAAAGCGTTAAGGTTGAGGTTGCTATATTTTCTTATTGTTGAAACCGTCATAGTAACGTTTAGGGACTAAAACAACAGAGTAAAAAATGTGAGCAAAAATAGAAAGGTTTTTATTTATGAGCCCCTGTTACAGTAAAACAATGAGAGGTAACTCACAGATGATTGTCAGGCGATTTGAGGGGCTGGAATCAAACCCGCGTCTTGGTGAAAGTTGGAAGGTTACCTGGCGCCTCAGACCACTCAACTTTTGCCAGTACTGACTTCTCGATGGTGAATTTTATGTTCATAGAGTAGAACTAATGCGTAGGCCACTCAGCCACAGCGCAACCTTCCTTACACAGTGGCAGCAGTTGGGGAGCATTCTGCAAATTTGCTGACTTTTATAACATGATTGTAAAAAAAACCTGGATCCTATTTCCAAAATTTGATTGAAGTGGGCTCATAAGGGGACTATCACATGTCGATAACCGCAAAAATCATGAAAATCGGCCCAGTAGAGTGCTCAAACGAACTGTGACATAGGATGAAAATTTATATTGTTTAAATGGGAGAATTCGCAAGTATACTACTTAATGTACAAGAACTTGGGCAATATTTTCAAAATCTATTTTGTTCTTAAAGAGAGACGTACCGAACTGAATATTTGAATGATTTGGACAAATGTGATAGCAAGCACTTAGAATCCCTTCCATCATCAGAGCAGTTCCCATGGAATAGTACAGTCCAAAATGATGAGGAATACCTTTTGTCTGAAAGTAGATAGAGGGAAAACATTGTGAGTGTTTGAGAGATTGTTAACTTAAGGTGCAAGGTGTTACAGAGCGCCCAAGAGCACTGTAAAAACGGCTCTTATGTGTGTGTGAAAGATCATTATACTTCTCAAAGAGAGAGTAAGTCAGCAATGCAGCAGCGCAGCGTTAGCATAAAGTTTCTCTGCCACATTCCATTGGCTATACTTCCTAACCTTGTAGACTCTTATCAGAGTGTTGGCCGTGGCATTAGGTACGGCTACACGTACTGTTTGAGACACTTTTTAACAGGCCCTCTCTTGAGTAAGTTCTCCAAGGAAACTTTTACTTAAATCTTCCCTCATTTCTTAAAGAACTGGGTGAAAAATTAGGGGATATGCACTACTTACAGAGTGGAGCTGGCAGGCTGCATCCTTGCGATATACAAGGAGTATAAAAAGTAGACCAAGCAATATGTACCCAATGTTGGTGAAGACATGATTGAAGTCGCTTATTTGCAGAAGCCGATGTGAGCAAAGGAAATTGTAGTAGCACATGTCCTGATTCCCGGACATATTTAACACCTATAAAAAAAAAAGGAGGGTTAACTGGTTTATTTTAGTAACTGAGAATTGAATACAATTCAAATTCAGGAAAGAGCCTATTCAAACACGAGTCTGCAAAATTTGAAAAATGCATTTTTCACCTGGCCCTGGTAATAAAAGGGGCTAACATTGAATGAAATTTCAAGATATTAACTTGGATATAGTACACTTAGAGGCACCAGTCTGATTTCTGGTGTCAACAAGCAAATTGAAGGAAATAAGGAAACTAAAAAATGATGATGGGTCAGCAACACCCGTTTTTTTGTTCAAATTCATTTTCTGACAGTATGGAGTGAACTGCGCCTCTAAGAATTTTTCAGATTTATTTTAATCCTAAATGGCAAAGGAATCCTGTTTTGAAAACGACGAAAACGGGATATTTTAAAAATACATTTCAGGCGGGCTCTGATGACATAATTAAGCAGGGTAACCGGCGTTTGCAGATTGATTAGCTCAGCTTTAGGCACTGCCTTGCTTTCGTAAACTCCACTGTTAGCTTTCGAATGGTCAGATTTTGATTTGCTTTTACTCTTAAAAATGATTTCTTGAAATTTTCAATGAGCCTTTTGGTTTTTTCACGAAATTTTACCCAAAAAAAGCTCTTCTGCAACCCTGCAAAAATTCCTTGCCACTGCCTCACTGAAACTGTTGGTACTATGCAGTATGCATGAATCTTGAGAGGAGTAGAATAGGAACTGGCCAGGTTTCAATAATTCACCAACAAAACTATAGAATAGTACCTTTTGATAGGTGAAGACTAGTTGCACAACAGGAAGTGAGTAAAATACAGCAACAGTAAGGAGGTTCCAAAAGTACAACCGAGCTTTAGCCTGCACAGCTTGAGGATTTTTTTTCGACAGATCGCTCACAAATAAAAATGTTTTTGTTCTGGAAAAATAATTCGAAAGAGCTATTTAAAGTCAATTGTTGCATTGAAGAAAAATACTAAGTTTAATAACATATTTTGACACATATTGACATGGAGGTGTTCAAAGTTGTGGTCAGCAAGGCGACCAAAACGAAAAAATGCAAGACTCTACCTGTGTACAGGTAATCAGACCACTTGTAATAAGCTTTTTTCTCGGTAATTTCAGGTCACACAAGGCTTGGGTCTGCTGGGGTGAAGAGGGAATTGACCCTTAGGAATTTTATCGGCCCAAAGCCTCCCGGACGATCTTTATACGCTCAATCTTCCACACAGCTCTAGCTACCTTGCTGAGCTGCAGTTTTCCAAAGGTATTCAGTCTCTATATATATGTATTGATTAATTCCACCCATCCATCCGGACTGATATGTTACTTTAATAATTGCCCCCTTGAAGTGACCTCAATTAGGTTGGGTTGTTCCATTAAGTTTTCTTGAGTAAAAAAACAGCATTCTCACCCAACTAATTCTTTGCTTTCTTTACTGCTCTTATCAGTTTCTTCTTCATCTAGAGAGGAATCTGCACTCACAGAATCTGGAAGCAAAACGAATAAAAAACAAACTTGATACCGAGAACATACAACAACAGTACAAATTATAATAATATAATAATAAATATCTTTATTTGTTGATTTGAGCACATGACTTTTATAGTCCGGGAGCACATGTAGTCCCGTGGGACCGTTAATGATACAAGTTGGCGAGATGGCTTGATCTCTTCGTCTTGATGTCCTGAAACAGAATTTCGATGCTGCCAGGCTCAATTTTTCCCGGAACACCCTTATATTCAAGATGGCGCCCAAAATGGCCGCTACGGGGGTGAAGTGGGTGAAAGTGACTCCCATGGTCGACATGTATGTCGATTCCTACGTATTTTTGGTCGAAAATTTCAAATATATGCTTA